CCCTCCCGCCGCCCTGGCCGGCCCCCGTGGGGGCTCCGGCGGGGACCCTCTGCCCCCGAGCGCGTGCGCGCCGGGCGGGGTGTGTGGGGTGCCCAGCCTCTGCCCCCCCGCCTTGCCCGCTGGAAGGGGGATGCCGGTATGTGTGGGGAGAGGGGTGGCCGTCAGCTTGCGGTTTGCTTTCCGGGGGGTGGATGACCCCGTGCCCAAGTGTATCCCCGTTTTCCTTTGGGAATGTCACAGAGACCGGGTGTCGCAACCCCAGAGCCTGAAACTGCAGCGAGGCCGCCGTAGGGACCGGGAGGGGGTGAGCGAGGGCTGCGGCTGCCCGCAGGCGGGGCTGCTCGGCCTGCCAAGGCTGCGCCCAGAGTTCGGCTTAGTCTGGGCAAGGCAGAGCATTCTGTAAATGGGCAGAAGTGTGTTGGCATCGTGTCTGGCTCCTTACGAAGTATTTGTGTTTAATTTGTATTCACTGCGTGAAATAATGTGATGAAGAGGGCTGTTAAGGCCAAAAATGCATTAATCTTTGAAGACAGGATGAATTAATTGTACTCTCTTGTACAGAACACTTCCAATGAGCTGGCTAGGGATTTATTTTCACCCTTTCTTCTTCCAGTTTATTGATGATATGTGTAAAGATTAGAATATTCCTTGTTTGCCCAACACGAAAGTACATATCCTGAATTTGGAGGGAAGGAGGCAACAGTGTTCCTCCTTTTTTCCGCTGGGTAAATAAAATGTACTGCTGGTAGGTGATAGTTTAAAATTATTAAAATGGCATGATCATGCTGTTATTTTTCGCATTACATTTATTGTTTCTGTTCTGTGACTCTACAGTCAGCTTTCCACAAGTGGTACAGGCTAAATGTTTTCTGAATAGCATGTTATTCAGATTTAAGAAATTTCAGATATTTTAAATATAGTTGAGTGTGTATAGCATAAGTCTGCTAGACATGAGTGCAGTGTAAGTAGTAAACACTCATCACCAGACCCTTAAATGCACAATACATGAACATCATGGTCATTTTCACAAGGATGATGCACAACTGGAATGTCTTACAAGTAATCTTTTTTTTTTTTTTTTTTTTTTTTGTGGTTTTGAGATAGTATTTTACCTGTCTCAGAAAGCACTAATTTAGTCCTTTGCTGGTTTATATTTTTCTGTCTGGTCTTGGCCCTGATCCTACAAAGCACTAAAAATGGACTTAATTTGAAATGCAAATAGGCCTAATGGATATACAGATTTAAATATGTGCATTCATTGTAAAATTGTGGCCGTTGTTTATATCTTCAAATGCTTTGCTCTGGATGTGTACTTCGGTTCAACAAGGAAAAGAAGAATTTGACTAGAAAAGCTTTTCAATGCATTGTTCACCCATTGTTCTTCATTCAGATTATTTTTCTCCAAATTTTGCTGCTGTCACTGGGTGTGAAAGTTAAGATTGTTTTTAGTTGTTTGGGTTACAAACCAGAACTTTCTTGTATTTGTAAACCTGCAGAGGAGAGAGAATTGATGTTCAGAAGGTTGAACTGAATTGAAATGTCTGTTACATTTCTTATGAAACAGAGAGTACTTACTCACTGCAATTTACCTTTGTTTCCAGTATAGGGATGAGACATTTATTTTTTTCTACTACTGGAATACCAAGCTCAAGACTGTGGCTGTTACAGCACCCGATAACAATGTGAACGTTTAATTCAAATTTGCAATTTAAGAACAAATCTACATACCTAGCCTTATTCTTTCCTGTCACCCCTGTGCTACCGAGGTCAGCGTTGGCTTGTCCTTGCTTCTGGTTACCTTGTCTGGTGAGTATGAAACCTCATGATTTTACCTATCTGTACTTGATTAGGATTTTTGTACCCAAAATTTTGTTGGATTCTTCACTGTATTTTTTGTATTGGTTTTGAAATACACAATACCACATAAAAGATTAAGTGTCTCTCCATCATTTTATTTTAACTTTTTGGAAAGTGGTATAATTTACTACAGGATTAAAATTTTTTTTTTAGAAATCCCAGAATTTTGTTTGGAAAATTGGATATCTTTAGACCTTGTTTAGATTCAGTTATTTTTATGATTTTCTATGTTAACATATGATGAAAAAAAAATCTTGGAAGATTTTCATATTATGTAGGGTTTATTTATACTATAGAAACATAGGCAGTCAACTTTTATCATTGTGCAAAAGTACTTGACCTTAACACAGTAGGAATGTATTCTTGTAAGTCTTAATGGGAATTACTGTTTCTCCAAAAGGAATCAACCATGGCTGATGACTCTCAGAGAAACTTTCGCTCAGTGTATTATGAGAAAGTGGGATTTCGTGGAGTTGAAGAAAAGAAGTCACTGGAAATTCTGTTAAAAGATGACCGGTTGGGCAAGTTGATTTCACTGTTTCCTTTATTACTTTGATTTGGGGCTGGGGAGGAAATAATAGAAAATGTTTAGCTGCTCTGCTTAGTACTCATTTAAGTTCTACATTTTTTACTGCTAATCTCTCAGTTATTATTAGCAGTCTTTTGAGTTTCAAAGATCTGAAAATCTGATTTTTAAAACTATTAAAGATTTGTCTGCTTCCCTGTTTCTTTTTTTCTTCAGAAAGAAGAAAAGAAACAAGAAACTAAATGATTTTTAATGAAAGCAACTTTAATCTGAAAATACATTCTCTCATGGTTAATTCCATCTAAACGTAAAACAGTGAAGATTTTGTTATTGCTCCTGATCCCTGAGGAGTGCCACATCTCTAACGGAAAGATAAATGCTGTCCCTTTAACAAACCCCTTAATTGTTTTGACATAGCAACACTATTTACAAAATGTCTATAAAAATGTTACAGTTTATTCCTGGTGAAACCTAGGGTAGTTATATTGTAAATCAAGCCAACATATATATTTTTCAAAATTCTTGCAGTTTATAAGGTACATTCTATTCTCAACTGGAGTGATGAAAGCATTTGTTGATAATATATGATGAAAGTGGGGATTTCGATCTGCAGCTAAGGATTTGTCATACTTGGGTGGATCAGAGACTCAAACCTATTTATATTTAAATTTACCTTAATTTTTTTACCTCTTTATTTCTTTACAGATATTGAGAAGCTTTGCACATTTAGTCAGAGGTTTCCTCTCCCATCCATGTATCGTATACTGGTGTGGAAAGTGCTTTTAGGTATGAAATACAGCATCCATGATCCTCTGTAGAAATGAGTATGTAGGAAGGTGTATTTTTTCTGGTTTTCTTTTTTTTTTTTTCTTTAAAGAGTTAATGACATGGATTAATCTGTACTACCTTGCCTACTGATATATATTTAGCCTATTTTTGTATCTATCTAGGATGCACAGCGGCAATTACAAAACAATATTCTATGCATAGTTTCTGATAACTTTTGCTGAAGTGTACCTAGAAGAGTTTATTTCTGTATTTAACTTTGTAATGCTATCCAAGTAAATTTATAAAATGGATTTGAAAAGTGGATTGTAATAAGTCAGTGATACATCATAAGATACTCCGTTCCATTCCTATAATTACAGACAATTATGTTGAAGTAAAGCTGTGATCAAACCTAAAAAAACTAGGCAAGGTATGGAATGGATGTTTATTCTAAAGAGAAGCTTTGAGTTCTACAGAATCATGGTTTCTTCTGGTTTTGCTTCTGACTTTAATTTGTATTTGCCATTGAAGAAGGCCAGAGACAAATTACAGTATCCCCAGAAACCATAAAACCCCCCATTAATAGATTCTGCTTTCCTTGAAGCGTGTTAGTCAGATGACTGATTCTGAAGTGCTGATGACTTTGCAGTAACTGGTCAAATGTGTTGGTTTTACTAGTTGTGAGGTCATGTCACTTGGAGACATGAAGGGTTGTGGAAGGTCCAGAAGTTCTGACCCTTACAAGCTGTCTGGAGAGTTTCCCTTAGAGTTGCTGCGTGTAGAGAAACACTGCAGATTGAATGTACGTTGGCCTGACTTAGTCTGTGGAAGAGAAATGTGATTTACCATACTGTTGGTGGCGGAGTGTTGTGGCACTTTGGAAAAGCTTGAGCATGGCTCTCATGCTCAGTCTCGTATTACCAGGAATGTGCTGGCTGAAAGGGTGCTGATATCTGAAGTGGTGTTTTGTCAGTGAAAGACCAGCAGCATCTCTCTGCAGGTTGGCTTGGAAGCTGCTGGGTTTTGCTGTCTTTGAACTATACTACTTTTGTCCTTTGGCCCTCCAGAGGGCATGTGATACAGATCCCATATGTATCTCTTAGATGAAGATTTTGGCATGTGAATCAGTCAGGAAGATTGGTGACTCCTACCTCAGAAAGAGTATTTCACAAAACAGTTTTTCTCTGTTTTAGGGTGGTTACTTTAGGCTGTGCCATGCTCTTGAACAACGTTCAAGTAAATGTCTTCTGTTTCCCTTCTTGGTCTCCATGTTTCACTACAGTGTCTGGAGTTTGAAATAGTGTATTAGAAACAATTATTTTTTTTTCCTCCAGTTTTCTACAGTTTAAAAATTGTGGCTTCATATTCCTGATATTTGGATTCGTAAGCCTTTTTTTGGGGAGAGGTAGTAAATGAACAGTGCACAGAAGGTTCAAGGTCTAATTATAAAACTTGAAGTTCTTGTCATTGATCATTGAACTAACAGAGTAATCCTACTTGACAAAAGCCTTTGCTGTTAAAAGTACTGATTTTAGGATGAAAAAGGTTCTTGTACCCTGGGCCCTAGTGAAGTAGTCAGCATCCTTTAAAATATTAGTAGTAGAAAGTACAGTGTAGGAGGTTTGGACAAGTGACTCAGTTACAAGATCCTTCAGCCACTATAATAACAAAGTACAGTCTATTGGCAAACTTTTAGCTCACTGCAGAGCCAGTGGTCTATCTTTGAATGTTTTAGATAGGATGATCTGTGTATCATATGAAAAAACCTTTTGAGTTAACTGTATGGAGAATTGTATTGATTTTTTAAAAGAATTTTGTATTTTAAACCCAAAGTGATTTATTTCAAGTACTCATACTGTCATTCTGTATACTCCTTGGGTGAACAGAGGTACAGGACTTGTCTTATGCTGCATGTCAGTGTCAACACTCATTAGAAAAGCTGGTATTCAGAAGAGCAATGCAAAATATCTCTCCCTAAAGGATTGCAACAACAGCCCGGTCCATTTCTGGTGGGAGGTGTTACAGCTCCTCTAAATAGTGTTAATGGTTTAACAAAAGGGATTCTATCCTGTTAGCAAAATTATATCGGACACATACCAAGGCTCGATGCTGTCCCAGGTTACGTGGTATGTCAGCGATGTCTGTTAACTTCCTGTTTGAGTATGACTCATGATGGTTTCTACACGTCCCTGTGTTGTTTAAGTTTCTTTTTTGTTAGCCTAAGGTAGTCTTCTGCATGTGAGGAAAGCGGTTGACAGTATGTACATACAAAGTCATGATACTGACTTGTATTTTTGCATAGTGTGAAAAATGTCGTGCTCTGTCCCAGCTTTTGGAATGCAGACAGGTTTGCAGTTCGAAAATAAAAGATAATTTTCTGTCTGATACGCTTTTACTAAAACAGAGCCATTTCATGGTTTAACACTTGGCAGGAATAGTTTTTTTTCTTTAAATGACAGATAAAAGCAGCAGGTAGCCTGTTTCAGAACTGATTTTTGAAGAATACTTTGTTCCCATGAGTTTCTATAACAGGGAAAATTCTGCTTTGCTAGTGATATGAAAGTGGCTTTTTTTTTCTCTGGTGTACATAAGATCTTGTTTCTGTTGAAGCCTGTGACAGTTTTGTTGCGAACATTATTGCATGGCAAGATTGAGTCTTGAGTGAGGGGAGAGATTGAGTGAAATGTTGAGCATGTCTTCTGGAGATCATAAACAGTGTAATTTTCTCTGCCTCTCTACTTAGGTGCTTTTATTTCCTTTTTTATTTTTCCTCATAGGAAACTATAAAAAATATTTGTGTTGTGCTAAGGAAGTAAAAAATGTTACCTTACAAAGTATTTGGGTGGTATTCTTAATCTGTAACTGATTCAACCTGTGTGATTGGTTTTGCTTCTGAATGTTGTTTTAGGGAGGATTAATCTGTGATAGAGTGAGTAAAGAGTTTTCCAGCAGAGATCTAATGGTAAATTAAATAATACTGGAACATACTGTATCTTCACACTAGTTAATTGCATATATATATATATATATATATATATATATTTTCTCTGTTCATTTCAGACAAAGTGTAAAATTTGAAAACACGAACTGCTAATGCGTATATAAAAATCATTCTGCTTCCACTTATTTTCAAAATCAATGGAAGCTGGGCACAAATACACAACTAGTACTGTATCAAAAACTGCAGGTAGGTATGAACAAGTAACAAGATTCACAATTTAAAGTAAGGTTGTTGGAGAGGGAGAATAAACCAATTAAACTATTTTTCATCTATCCCAACAATGACACGTCTTACCACTGATGCGGTGTACAAAAGAGTTAGCATTCATTTGCTGAAAACCTTGTAGAAGAGCTTGAGGAACAACATTCTGAGGGTAGATTTTGCCTATGCTCAGTTAACACGACGTTTATTTTTTATAAATGTATAAAGTGCTTGGTTGGTCCGTTGACTTCCAATTTTGTAGAATTTTCTCTCTATATTCGTTGACCAAGTTTATAAACAAACTGTAATGCCAGGTCCTCTATTTCTCTAGGCTGGAGTTGTAGTAGAAATTGAATTTAGGCAAATCTTGTGGAAAGGGAGTTTTGAGTGCTCTGTTTTTTCTCTTTACAGCTGCTTATATATTTTTTTTATGTTTTGCTTGTTTGTTGTTGTTTTGTTTTGGGTTTTTTTAGGAATTATTCCTCCTCACCATGAATCTCATGCTTTGGTGATGAAGTACCGGAAGGAGCAGTACTGGGATATTCACCATGCTCTTCATGTAATTCGTTTTATTAATGATTCTACGCCACAGGTAGATGTTTTCCTCCGCATACATCAACTGGAATCAGGAAAATTGCCTCGAAGCTTGGCATTTCCATTGGTCAGTTGTCATTTTAACACTTTTAAATATAGTATTTTATTTAACTTCAAACTATAAACCTGTGAGAAACTGAACACAAATGCATGTAGATAGACAAAGTAAGGTGAATGGAAAACAGAGAAGTACTACTATAAAATATGGGATTTTAGTCAAAGTGCTTTTATCTTTTTCTTCCCCTAAGTATTTATGTAAGATTTTATGCCTTAAAATCTCTTTTGTGTATTTTGCCTGCTAGGCTTCAAGCCTTTTGTACTCTAGTACACTTCACTTTCTTTATAGCAGTGAAATGAAAATGACAATCTTATCAGAGCTCATAGATTTTTAAATGTTCTGGAACAAGGATAATTCAGAGACAGTACAAGCAGTGACTTACTGCAAATTATATAATGTATTTAAATTATTTGTTTTTAAATCCCTACTTTAGTGTACTGACCTCCTTTTTCTGTTAGTCTGAACCGATACAGGCTTTTGTCAGGTAATGCATGTACTGTGCAGTTTACAGTGTACTCGCATATGGGTAAATGAGTCTGTTTTGATGATAAGTCTGTAGTGTGATGATAAAAACAATGTGTGAATCTTACCTATAAGCCTTTATGAAAGAAGAGATGATGAAAGGAGACATGGGACTTTCTGAACTAGATTTTATCCCGTATTTAACATTAATTTATCCATGTTCCCTCTAGCCCAGCTTACTTTGTTATTTTTCATCTGTAATAATAAAATTTGACATAAAAAATTTTAAAAAGTTAAAAAATTAAAAAAAGTTAAAGTTAATGTGGAAAATTCAGTAATATTTTGGAGTGGAGGATTATAGACAGCATTCTCTTATCAGAGGAGGGAGAGTGGTTTTGTGCCCTTACCATTGCGTAGGAATGTGGCCATCTTGCCCTGAAGGTTTCCTACAGAAAACTTTCCTTGATCTTTGCATGCGACCCAGTGGTCTGAAAATTCATTCCTTATAGAGTGGTATTGCCTTCTGAGCAAGTGTCTTGTCGTCAGTGCATCCCAGAACACTGGCTGCTCTCAGTACTGTGATGGGGTTTTATAGAGGTGGTGTTTAGCAGATCCACAGTTATTAGTCCTGTAACCCACATCTGTTTTGCTGAAGAGAGCATTTCTTCTCTTTATGCCAGCCTGTTTGTAAAGCTGTCCCTTTAAACTTACAAGGGGTTACTGCTTGATAGTAATGCAGATGTTTTATTGTGGAGGCAGAGGGAGTATACAGATAATGTTGGAGTGGTCTAAATATTTTAAAATGTTTAAGTCACAAATCACAGAAGCCTGCTAAATAAGATTTGTTCTTCTGAAAGCAGAGAGTTTAAGTAGGGGTATGTGTGTACTGCAGCAGTCTACTTAGCAGACGCATATCCCAGCAGTATTTAGACTACCCACATGTTTTGCATGAGTTGTAATCTGTGAAAAAGTCTGTGATTCTACAGTTTACTGCTGCTGATGGTTACAGTAGATCAGACTGTGGATATGTATCTGGCTTGTTACCCTGCCTCCTACTGTAATCAGTACTGCTTTGTGTAAGGAAGACTGTAAGAAACAGGGAAAATACAGAGCCTTTTCTTGGGCATCCTCCCACTTTAGACACTTCCTGAGCTAGCTGTTGTCATGAGGTCTAGCTGCTCTCCATCTACCCTATGTGCAGTCACACCATTATCTGTGGTTTAGAAATGCTGATACTTCTGTTAGGAAGGTATATCCTTAGAAGAAAAGATGATGGCATGTCCATCCCATGCTTCTGGTCATGTGTTGTGGGGAATAAGTTACTTGTCACTTGGAAAAAATATTCATCTGTAGGAAGAGGTTTATCTCAAACCAAATGATTTTTCTATATGTGAATGTAGGCATACAGCTCATGGCTGCATTATTTTTTTTCAGTAACTGTAAGATCCATGACAAAGGTGTTTGAAGGGCCTGCTTGGCCCTTAGCAAAGAATAGGATGAAAAATTCTGCTGCTATGCAGAATAAAAATGTGGGTCATGGAAGTAGGATTGTTGGTACCTTGTTAGGATGTAATATTAACTCCTTTGAGAATTTTGAATCAGAGTTGTTCCAGACTCCTGTCCTATGTTTTGTTTTAAAAGTGAGTCTTACATGTTCAGCTTTAATAGGTATCTGTCACCATAATGCAGCTGCTGCCTGGTGTTTTACTTAGGAATTTCAGAACAGCTCTTTGTGTACGTTGATTTCAGTTTGTTTTCCTGATAGCAGGGAAAGATAATAATAATTTAAATCAGATAGTCCAGTACATCTGTGTAGTTCACTTTTTTTGGCTTTGTTTTCTAGGAACCTGAAGATGAAGTGTTTCTTGCTATTGCTAAAGCGATGGAGGAAATGGTGGAGGATCCTATAGAATGCTATTGGCTTGTCAGTTGCTTTGTGAATCAGCTGAACAGCAAGCACAAAGATTCACTGCAACAACTGGTAAGGAAAAAAACCTTTTTATTTTTTGTGAAGAGAGCCAGTCATGGAAAGCTCTAATATATGGAGACAACTGGAATGTCAGAGGTAACACCCTTAGATTCTGTTCCACCAACTGTTTTGAGAGAACCAAAGGAGTAGGGGTTTTTGTGTTCTGATTGTGTTGTCCTGTGGGATGCTATCATAATATTAGAAATTGTTTTCACTTGCCACATGGTTGTTTTCAGTTACATTTTATTTTATTTTTAGGTTAGCTAAAGCTTACATTGTATCTAGTTGAATTATATTTCTCACAAATTGGTCACTTAAGAATTTTCTTTATTTTAAACAACTAAAAATGTCACAAAGTTAAGAACATCTTGATGTATGTCTGCTGCTTTTTAGGCTGCGTCTCTGGCATCCATATGCTGCTTATTGGATGACAAACAAAGCACAATTGTTTTGCTTTATAAACGGAGCAGGGTACTACATCTTCAGAAAAACAATATGTTGCAAATTAAGTTACAATAAAAAGTGGAATAGAGTTCTTTTGGCACTGGTCATCTAAATGTTCTCAGAATATTTTGAGTTTCTGTCTTTCTGGTTTATAAATTAAAATTTGTAAAGAAAAATGCATATTTATAAAAATCACAAAAGCTTTTTAAAACAGATGAGAAACTTTTAGTTAACAGTATTCACTGAGATAAAAGTATCAGAGTACTTTGTGTACTAGCAACTACTGAATGAAAATTCTTGGCACAAAATTATGTGTGTCCTTTGTCATTGTTTTGGAACTAAGAAATGCTTCTTACACCTACCTCCTGTTGCTGGAGGCGATACATTCGACTATACCAATTTCTGTAATTCCTTTCAAAGGACAGAGGAGCATTTTTAAAGAAAGTATGTGTTCTCACTACATAGAGGGTGCCAACTGTCTCCCTCCCTAAGTTTCTGTTTTAAGATGAACATTCTACAAAGAAAGCGTTTTCTCCCTTTAACAGCTGAAGTCATTAGCCGTTTACCCAATTATGACAAAAAGTGTAAAGCTACTCCTGAATTAATGAAAATGTGTATTGTGTTACATTAGAATTTAAACAAAATGAGAATTATCCGCATGTTTGTGCTCCTAAATACAAGAAATCAATGTCCAGCTTTTAATAAGTTGCATGGGGATTTACTCTCAGAATTGATTTTCAGGATTCTGCTGCATTGTGTGTATATTTTTTTTTTTTTGACATGTGCTAAGGCAATTAGGTTTGAGGTGAATGAAATTCAGTTTTACTTGTGAAGGTAGCAGTAACTAGTGCACATTTAATCTCTTGCCTTAAACTCTCAAACACTTCCTTGCATTAGGGTATACTGCATATTTTGGAAGTTCTGCTAGTGGTCAGCAATTTAAGGAACTTGAGACACTCTAGTTAAGTACTTAATTAGCTGTTGCAAAAGTGAGCAACACTTGTGTTTTGGAACCTGATGTTTTTAGTTAAAACAGTGCAAGTTCGTTATTTTATACTGATTGTATTTTTAAGACATTTCTTGTCTTGCAGTGTGTGTTAACTATAGAGGGTACTCTGATGTGAGTTATCTAACATTTTCCAATTGCTTTCTCAGCCAAAAATTCTGGAGCAGTATTTGAACATAGAAGATAACAGACTCCTGATGCATCTGAAAGCATGTGCTGCAATGAGCAAGCTCCCTTATGATCTTTGGTTTAAAAAGTGTTTTGCAGGCTGTTTACCTGAGTCCAGTTTACAGAGGCAAGTTATCTTTTTTCTTTCCAATTGTAATTACATAGTAATTTTAGCTTTTTATCATCACTAGCTGGCAAAGAGCTTTCCTTACTTTATCTGTAAGATTATGGAGTTAACTTTATTGCTGACTTGAAAATGATAAAATTAGATTTGATTCTACTTGTTACTGACACAAGATAATATTTGTATGATCATTTTTCACATTGAAATTAAAAATAAATGGGTTTAAATGTAGCATCCGATTCTTTATACACTTAATGCCTCTTAGGATTAAAAACTTTGCATCCCCTCAAAGTGGTAGATAGCTGAATGGTAGTCAATTTTCAGACTTTTTAATGAAAATACTTGCTTAGGGAGTGATTATAATATTGTGTTAACATCAGATGAAAGAGATTTGGGAATATGTACTGGTTTTGGCTGGGTGTTTTGCCAATTATCAGGCCTAGCATAAAGGACACAGCCAGCATAAAGATGAACCAATAACCAAATTGTATTTGATACAAAAGGGTCAGTATATGGGTGAGCACTGGGGGTACAAATAAGTCAGATTATACATAATCAACATCAATCCCACTGACCCCAACAACACCACCACACAACCAACAATGGGTGGAATAAACAGTGACATGCAGTTTCCATAGAAGGGATGGGAGACAACAGAGTCAACAAGCCAAACGCATAAGACCAAGGAAGACACACACTGAATCTCTACACAGCCCACATTTACAAAAGCCAGATCTGACTGGAGCCCAGTTCCAGGGAGGCGGGAGGTCCTTCCCCAACAGGAAACTCTGCACAGGGCATCCACCTCACAGACAGACACTACCCCCTCCTGCAAGTGGTCCCAGCTTTTATCCCTAAGTGGGACACCTGATCCTTGTTTACTTAATGTGGGACACCTGGGGCTCATTTACCTCATGGCTCTCTCTGCAAGGCCAGCCGCACCCTGGAGGGAAGCCTAAAGGTAAACTCACCCCCCCTTGGTGAAGGGCTGGGAATCACCCATATGTCAACCTTAATTTGGGGCTTGGGGTTGAAACCCCAGCATTTCACTGAGATAAAGTTAAATTTCTTTATAGTAGCTAGTATGGAGCTATGTTTTGGAATTGTGCTGAAAATGGTGTTGATATCACAGGGATGTTTTGGTATTGCTAAGCAGGGCTTATGCAGATTCAAGGCCTGTTCTGCGCTTCACACCTCCCTGTCAAGGAGGAGGTCAGAGGTACACAAAAATTTGGGAAGGGACACAACTGGAACAGTTGACACCAACTGACCAGAGGGATATTCCAGACCATATGGCAGTAAAACTGTGGTGGAGGGTGGAGACATTGCTTGGGGGCTGTCTGGGCATTGACTGGTGATGAGCAATTGTTTTCATTTGCATCACTTGTCTTTTTTCCTCCTTCTTTGTTACTTTTTTCCTCCTTTCCTTACAATTTTTTAAAATTATGATTATTTATTTTTAATTATTGAACTGTTTTTATCTCAACCCTTGAGTTTTTTTCTCACTTTTACTCTTCCAATTCTTCCCTTGTCCCACTGGGGTGGGGGGAGTGAGCATGTAGCTGTGTGGTGCTTAGTTGCTGGTTGGGGTTAAACCCTGACAGAATGTTTATTTAAAAAAGTACTAGGGGCAGGTTGAGTATTGCAAAGTTAATGAAATGGTGCATTATATCACAGTTTCTACAGTTAGTATATTTTTTATATATATGTATTTTACAGTTAGAAATAGGTTGTCCAGCTTTTAAAAGGGGAAAATTATTGTACATTGCACTTCACTGAATGATTTTTGAAATTGTATGACTTCTCTAGTTTTGCTGCCTGAGAACTCTTGGAAAGCAGAAAATTTGAGCTCGATGTAGAGAAGTGTATTCTTCATTAACAAGAGTTGCTAATAGCTGAGCAGGAGATGGCACAAAAGAAAACAATGGTTTCATATTCAGCTGCCTGAAAACTTTGAGAAGTAATGAGGTTCAAGGGAAGTTTTTCTCCAGCACCTCCAGGATGTCAGTGGCTAATAGAGGAACCTAGTGTGGAAATAGATAGCTCTGTAAAATGCTTTGTGGTGGTAAAGTTGGTCTTAATCTCAATAGTGAATGCAATCTGGATTGTTTATCTGGGACTTCCCATTTCATGAAGGAAAGTGGGAAACAGATGTTTATAAAAATGGTTTTTTGCCCTTATGAAAATAAGAAGGTTTTAGGGAACAAACTGTAGGATTAGAAATTATGCTCTCTAGTATTTTACCATGGTCTTTGAAGTTCTGTATATTTTCCTCTTGACAAGGGATATGTCTGAGAGAAAAAAAAGGTTTTGAACTGAAACTGAAGGATTTGCTAGTAGACCTTTAGGTGTGCAGCATGGTAATTGTACATGGTGAGTTCTTCTCACCAAGCACCTGTAGGTCTCCAAACTAGTAATCTCTAGTGGTTATGTGTGATGTGGTGGTTAAAAGCTTTTACTACTTTTATGGCTACAGAAATTATGTAAGCATGTATAAAATGCTTGTTACATCCTTAAAAGCAGTTGAACATGTATGGTTTGCCTGCATCTGTTTCACATTTGCATTTGTAGGTTTGCTTTCAGTGGATAATGATTGACCTTGTTTCATTGTGCTTTCTCTGTATGGAACTTAATGCCTTAGAACTTCAGCTACTGTCAGTAGAAGTGACTGCTCTACCTGGGACTTTGCCAGTCTCTTCAGGTCTTTTTTTTTGGTAGGCTTCTGTGATCTGAAATAGCCTTTGCAAACTACAGCATTAGGAACCTTTTCGCAGGTCTTCTAGGATATTTTTATGTAGAGTTTATGTGATTGAATTTTTAAATTTCCTACTATGTCTTATGGCTGAGAACTAGAGCTGAAATGAATTTGCATCAGAGCAATTTTGCTGTTGGAAGATTCAGGGTTTTTTAAAATTTCTGTTGAAAATTGAACATTTTATGGAGCTGTGTTACTTTGATAGTGTACAAAAAAATCTAGATAAAGAATTTTGATTTAATTTCATCTTGTCAGAATACTTAGTGTCAAACTTCTACCATTTTGAATCAGTTCACTTTTATATAAAACTTTTTCTAGTTAGTGCATTCTTATGTTGTTTAACCTTACTGAAATAGAATACCTTGACTTGAAATTTAAGTACTTTTTTTTTTTTCCATGGAAAAGGTCAAAATATTGGCTTTTTGTATCACTGTAGAATAAAACCAAATTTCGGTGTTGGTACTTCTGATGGCACAGCAATCCCTTTTCCCAACAGTTCTTGTGGGAATATGGTAAAAGTGCACTTTTTTCTTGCCAGTTTAGGTTTCTGAGTTATTCAGTTGTAATCATAATGGCCTAATTTGCTAAGGAAATAACATACTTCATGGATAGCATGTGACAGATGAACTTAATTAATGCTTGGAGATTCAGTTTGGATTAGAACCCAGAAGCCTGAATGCTTATCTGAAATGGATCCAAATGGCATTGTTGGAACTGCTGAGAATTGGAAACAGGTTTCCAGTTCTTCTGTGATTTTTACTTACTTTCTCGTTGAGAGGTGATCTGAGCTCCATCTTTTATGATTTAACTTCTGATTTAGCACTGTATTTCTTAGAGAGGTTGCTTGCTTTCTATAAATTGTAGTCTTTTCTGCCAGGCAGCTAAATCTAAATTTCATGGGTTTCTTTTTTTCTTGGTAAGGTGTACAAGATTTGTATACGCTATGCAGAAATTTTATCCAGTAATGGTGAGATGGAGCTGTATAATACCAGCTTTACTCTTGACAGGCGCTGTCATTCAGTATAAATACTGTTTATAGCACACTTCTAGTTATACCATGGGTAAAACTTAGGCATCAGTTTAATTTAAATGGACTTGGAAAATGTATATAGGCAGGTTTCATGTAGAAACTTTTCCTTTGAGCTTATGCAGTTCTTTGCTTGCCCTATGCAACAAGCTCCTTAACAAACTTCTTAAAGGTGTCATGTGGGTAAAAGAGAGGAGCAGACCGACCATTCTGAAGGTGCTGTATCCTCAGGGCTCTGTATTCCACCTGGAATGTAGACAGGGTGCTTCCTGGAACATGAACCAGCCTGTAGCACAGGTTTTAGAGGGACAGAAAGGCTTGCCCCTAAAACAGGGAGAGAACTGCATCACACCTTTGTTTCTGTACTCACCATTGCCCTGTTTACTTGAATTCTGCAACAGTAAGCCCCACGTGTAGAGAGCTTTTAAGTGGTGCTTGTGGGCCTCTGCCGGAGAGCCCTGATGTTAAAGCCTGGTGTCCTGTTTGTGGCTTCAGCTCTACAGGCAAAATGGCACTTTGGCTGCCAGTTTATTCCAGCACTGTCAGCCCAGATGATCCAACTACAATAGAAGTAGTGCAGCTTTGCAGATATATTTGTGAATAAGCCAGGCATTTTTTATGGCCTAATGTTGCCAATCACATATTGTGTCCCTGACTAACATTGTTTGTATTCTTCACTGAAGACTTGGCATTATCAGGACTGTAATAGCTGATGGGGTGGTGTTAGTTATTAGCCTCTGATAACTTATTTGTGGCAAAGTATTTGGTAGTTCTGAAACCTTACTGACTGCCTTTCAAACTGGCACTATATCATGTATTAATATATGGCTTCTGTAGTTTTACATCTGTGATCTCCACGTTCTGCATAAATTACATCTAGTTGTAAAAATATAAGTATTTGTTAGTAGAAACAACAGAAATATGAAAAATGCTTGAAATTTACTATGGAGTGGGAGGGTGTAAGAATGTGCATGTGGGCTACTACTATAGAGAAGCATAAGTCAGTTTGTCTTTGTCTGAGTGAGCTGCTTCCCAGCTCTGGAAACAGATGGGCACAGGATCGTGATGTGACATCAGGATACTTGTGTGAGCCTCATCACGTCCCTCCATGCCCAGTTACCATTGGAAGAAAACCCAGAAGTGCAGGCAGAAGAGCAAGCATTGGTTCTCTTTAAACATCTTTGGCCTGGATGACTGAAGGACCAGAACCAGGGAGTAAGGTTGAGTGTGTTTAGACTGCAGCCTAGGGTGAAAAGCTGTGAGATTAATGATAATATTTCAGAAAAAGAGAGGGCAGCAATGCTGTGATGCTTTTTGTATACTACATGCACTGTAGCGGTTGAGGAACCTCAGGAACTGCCTTGAGAATGCCATGGCTTCACACCTGCACACACACAGAGCAGGTTGTATCTTGGCTACAGAAGAAACTCAGTGAAAAGTAAATGGCTTCATAGGCATAAATCTTGGCATGCTCTTTACCTTCATAGCTTCCTGTTTCTTTTTATTTTTCCTTGTGGTTGTTACTACTGTTGCACTGTTCAAGAAATACCTACAAGAGTGTTCCTGTGGTTAATTAAATACTGTTATATTTCACAGAGGATGACAGTCACAAAACCCACAGTGAATTTAGTTTATACTTTTTCAGCATTCCTGAATAGGGCTCTAGGCACAGTTGCATGACATTTCTGTTACAATTTTTCCATATCTAGGAATATAAAAAAAATAAGTAAAAAGTTGAAATCTCTGGCAATATACTTGGATCTTAAATGTTTGCTGGTATTTAAAAAGTGAAAGTAAATGCATATGTTATTATAGAGATACAATATCTAAAGGCTGCTGTATTAGAATTGAATCATCAAAACACACATTTCCTTGAAACTGCTGTGGGTTTTTTCCATTTTAAGTAAATGCTTTTCTGACACAGTTAATGTTGCTATTCCTGGCTCTACTGGTGTAGACAAGGTGCTGACTGCTGGTCTGTTTCTTATGGTGTCACACAGTCATTCCCCTATTGCTGTTGCTGGCGGAGTTGCACTGAGAGTAACAATAGCTGTTAAGGTGAAAAATACTGCAGCAGACACAGCTGGCTAGTGCTGACATGTCATCCACTTTGCTGTGCACCCTCTTCCAATATTTGTCAGACACCAGTGACTTAGATACTGCATCTGGTTTGCTATTGTTAAAACATTTGTTCTGGAATCAGACTAAATAATACATGAAAACATCAGAGTATTTTCTGAGCATGAGATGTAACCTACTGTAATGTAATTACAGAGACTGAAGTCAGGAGACTTGGAAGCAAAATAATAAAAGAAGGCTGGGTATTTTATGTTAGGATTAGTAGATTTGTATTTGAATTAACAGGAGCTTTAGTATGAACTTTAAAAATTCCTAGTTTTGAGGTCTGCTACTCTCTGTGTTGTCATTCGTAATTACAGTTATGATGCCCATGAAACACATGGTGAGCTGTTCTTGGATTCTAAACAGATACATTTGTGCAGGAAAATGTTTTAGAAATAAAGAGATGACCTGTACAGCGTGGGACAGGAATGTGATTTCAGTTCTCTATAGCCTTGCTCAAAGCTTCTAAGCCCTGGCTTCAACATCAGTGTAATATTTACAGTGATCGCTTGTCCTGGGATGCTTGAACCACAACGGAAGCAGTAGGATTTTCATCTTGGATTATTTATTGTTCCTGCCCATATGGGAATTACATTCATTTTTTAATCAGCGAGACAGAGAAGTAAAACTAAATTGCAAAGGGGAAAGAAATTGACATTGCCTTTTTTCCCATCTGTCCCTGTGGGGTATTTGTTTCCTTCTTTTTAAAGAACAGTCCTGAGGATTTTATATATTCTTTTCCTCATTTATTCATTATAAGTTAAATTCTAGTCTAAATTTTTTGGTGAATGGTTTGGTTGTGAAAATAGTGTCAAAAGAATTATGTGACTAGAAGGCTAAGTAACTGACACAGAATTGACTTCAGTCACAGTGTGAAAAATAAGCACTGTGTAACAGCAGCAGTCATTCCATATCAGGAGTTACAAAAGCTTTTCACAAAAAATCACAGAAAGATTAAAGTTAGCAGGGACCTCTTGAGTTCATCTGGTCCAAGTCCCTGCTCAAGCAGGGCCGCTTACAGCCAGTTGCCCTGGGCCATGTCTATGTGGCTTTTGAATGTCTCTGAGGTTGGAGACTCCACAACCTTCCTGGCAACCTGTGCCAGTGCTCAGTCACCCTCACAATTAAAAACTGTTTCCTGATGTTCAGAGGGAGCCTCCTGTGTTTCATTTTGTGTCCATTGCCTCTGGTCCTGTCACTGGGCACCACTGAAAAGAGCCTGCCTCTGTGCTTTCTGCACCCTCCCTTCAGGTATTCATATACACTGATGAGATTCCCTCCTGAGCCTTCTCTTCTCCAGGCTGAACAGCCCCAGCTCTCTCAGCCTTTTCTCATAGGAGAGATGCTTCAGTCTCTTCATCATCTTCATGGCTCTTTGGACTCTCACTTCTTCACTTCTTTAAAGGTATGATACGGACTCTTCAGTTCAGCTGTCAGAGTTCACGATATGCCTGCATTGTGTTCTCCTGGCACTCCAGGCTGAAGGGCAAGGTCTTCTGAGAGAAAAGGTTGTATAAAAATTGAGTTGTCTTTGGAAGAAGCACACTCATAGATCCAAGTTTATAGATGGGCTGTAGAAGATGTTTTCTGGTTAGTGTTATTGTATTCAGAGATTATGGAGGATAGTATGTGGTCTTTGTCCCCCATGTTTTTGTTTGGAAGGAGAAACACTTTTAACAAGTGCCCAGAAGGAGCAAGAGCATTAATCCTCAGAAAGTCTTTCTGCCACAGCTCTTAAAATTCAAGAACTAAAAATAATGCAAGCCTATAAAAGCTGCCATCTGACAGATGGTTTCACACTGGGTTTGGATAATCGTTCATCCCGAGTCTGTTGAGTTGGGTCTGAGATAGAGCTGCAGGATGAAGGATGATTTCAGATTGTTGCAGGCTGGTTTAGTAGTGTGGGTCCCTTTCAATACCCTTCAAAGATCTGTTGCTAAAGTACTTACAGCCTTTGGAGGCCTGCCCTTCCAGTTTTGTTAAACTTCTGAGGTCCAGGGGCAGTTTCATACAAGTGATAGGAGTGCTTAGGTAATTCTGAGAGATTCTGTGCACAGTGGGATAGGTTGAAAGACTTAATAGTTGTTCCTTATGCCTAAATTAAACATAATGGATTATACCCTGCTGATAAATCATATTTGTATCTCGTACAGTAATGACCTGGAATATTTAGCTTCTTGAGATATAGTTGTTTAGTATTATGTCCTTTTGAATTTTCAGCTACTCACCTGTTTGAAGAGTGTCTTTATTAGGAATACTAATAGAATTTGTTTACTTCTTTGCACTAGGAAAAATTCTCACCTTTACCATACACTGTAGAGTAGTTGTCATGGTCCAGGCTGTGAAAACAGGATTTGCTTTTTGTATTTGAGCTTGTAAACAGTTCCATTTCTAAGCAAGAACACGCAACATTAGTACATTAGTGCTTGCTATCACTCTGCTCTGTACAGATTTAGGAGTTAATAAAATGTCTTTTATTAAATAATCTGGAAAAAGGTGCTTGTATAAAGACTATTCTAGCAGATAAATAAGCAGATAAGGACTACAGTAATGTTCAGTGATTCCTTTTCACTTTTTTGCAGAGTTTGGGACAAAGTTATTAGTGGGTCCTGCAAGATTCTCGTTTTTGTTGCTGTGGAGATATTATTAACTTTTAAAATGAAGATAATAGCACTGAATACTGCAGAAAAGATCACACAATTTTTGGAAAACGTAAGTACTCTATTGTGCTTTGCATTACCTTTATGGTTTATAAAAGTGTGTTTCAGCCTCAGTCATTGCCTGTTGCAAACATACCATAAGATACTATTACATTACTGAGAACAGTGCAGTAGTACCAAGGTGAAGAGAGAATGTGCAGAGATGAGAATAATAGTCGTCTTCTGTCAGAAGGTAAGGCTTTCATAGAATGAAATGATTTTTAGGCTTTGGGGGATGTGTTATCTATGTTTGCACAGATTTTACAATATTCTTTCTGATACTAAAGGGTTTTTCTGTGAAAATAAGTGTGGATGAGGTTAGGTTAATTTTTCTGGAAGCTCTGTAGAGGGTTGGTTCCTGGCATCTTTTTGGCTCCTTGCTTGAGTGTGAATCTGTGGACACAAGGTATGTTTTCTGTTGATGTAAGGATGAGGTCATGAACCTGACCCTGAGCTTTCCTTCTGTGAATAGTAACCAGCATCACAGCAGGGCTGTAGGATCCCAGGTGTAATCTAGGTTAGTTAGATTAGATTAGATATGTTTGTGGTCATGGATGGCCAGTATGAGTTCTGCCTGATGTTGGGTTAGGGATGTGGGAAGTGTGAGATGCCTGGGTGGTCATCTGACAGTTTTGTAAAGAAAAGCTTTTTGTCTGAAACCTGGAGGTAATATGGTGTGCGTAGTACTGAGGGATAGTGGGATGGTAGGGCAAGGAGATGGGATTCTAGTTTTGCTTTCTCTTTTATAAGGAGGTAAAATCTGAACTGGAAATCTAAAATCTTTATTTGAAACAAAACAATCCAAATAAAGTACTCTGACAAGGCATCTTGTCCTGATCATTTTTAGATTCCTCAAGATAACACTGATGCTATTGTCAGCAAAGCTGTTGATCTGTGGCGCACACACTGTGGGACTCCAGCACACTCGGTCTGAGAACTTTCTTCGTTTATGACAACTTGGGAAAAAGAGAGACTTGAAAAGACATTTTACCATTCTTCCCCCATCCTAGTGTGATGTTCTTTACCTCTTCTATGTAAAGATGCTATTAAAGTAGCTAATAGCATAGTGATCAATATGTAAATATTTTTCAATAAATATAGATTGAATGAAGATACCTAGTGGTGGTATAATCATGCCCCAAGTGTTTCTTGGCCAGCCAGCTACAGTATTCTGATTGCACGGAGTGCTCTCTGGCTTTTGAAGAAGTAAATCTAACTCTCTGAAGCAAGGTAAATAGACTTACTTGTATTTGAAAAATGTTTTTGTATGCAAGCTTATAATTCATATAACTACTACTTGGAGGTGGTTTTAAGGTGAATTTACTAAATGTTAGTCTGCTGGAACTCTGGTGACAAGCATGCATTTATTAGAAATGTAAATGTACTCTATTAATACTGTAAATTTTAAGGTAAATGTTCAGGAAGAAGCACCAGAAATTTGAGGTAAAGGACATCAGTGACCAGGGGTGACATGCTTTTCTGAAGTGGCTTAAAATATTTTTATCTGTCGGCCAGTTCTATATGGCTGTACCTCCTCCTTTGTTCTTCATGGAAGATACTCTAGAAAGGGGGCTTTGTCCTACCCTAAAATGTAACTTTGGGCAGGTATGGAGAAAATCAGTGGGACAAGTCAGTAAATATAATTCAGAATAACAGGCCAGTAATAAACACTGCCTCTGAATGCTTGGCTCAGAGTTGTACTTTGATTCTCATTTGGTTTAGATTTCAAAATAAATTTAATACAGAAATGTAGCTAATGATGTAAGTAAAAATAGAGTGATTAGCCATAGATAGAGATTTGCTGGAGAACTAATCTTTTTCTTGTAAAAGTGTAAAATTCTATTTCTACATCTTGCATAGACCAGGGAATTGTACATAAAAATGGTTACTTAGCTATTATTTGACTCAAATTGATGCTTATTGTGCCAGATATGCTCATTGCACTAGAAAGGGTGTGTTTAACTTGCATTCAGTGTAGTGCACACTTGAAATGATTTAGAAGCTTAAAACTTTTGTTTTAAACTAGGTCAGGTTTACCTTCCAACACATTAACTGGGCAAGTCTGGGACTCAGTACACCTAAAAACCTGGGTAGATTATCTGTGCTGGGTTCTGAGATGCTGCTGTTAGTGTTCCTGAATTTACGCAGTTCAGAAAGAGCATGTTTGTGTCTGCTTTGAAAGCCATTGCTCTGTCTGCATGGTGCTGCAATGCATTCAGTGTACTTCAGATAGAAGCTTGTTTTCCTCATGTAGGCGTGAGCGCTGTGTAATTTGGGTAGGAAAGACCATATACATTCTGAGAATAACAGCACTGCATTCTGTAACATGCAGTGCACAAGTTTTTCAAATAATGGCTGCAGGTACAGTCTGAGAGTTTACTTGTCTGAACATTTTTCTCTCAGGCTGCACAGCTTATTCACAAAAACCCCAAAGTTAACTATGCAGTGTTCAGGCTTTTACACAGCAGCTTACTTAGTCGTTAAAAAAACAAGCACTGATGACACTGAAGGTGTTTAGCAGTTTCAGTCCTGAAAGGGTGTCAGTAACTCATATTCTGGGAAGAGAGTTGTGCTGAATTAGAAGTGCCAGTTAATGTTATTGCTTCCAGACTTGGCAGTGAATGTTCCTCCAATCGCTTTTACTAAGGCTCCAAACTTTTTTTTTTTGGTTTAGTTTTTAATTAAAAAAAAGCCTTTCTCCATCAATAGGCGGGCCCTGGATTTGCACAGATGAGACAGAGATCTACTTTCACAGATTTACAGAAGGGCTGAGGTTGGCAGTGCCTTCTGGAGTTCATCTGGTCCAAGGCCATGCTCAGGCAGGGCCACCTACAGTCAGTTGCCCTGGGCCATGTCCATGTCTCCAAGGAGGGAGCCTCCACAACCTCCCTGGCAATCTGTGCCAGTGCTCAGTCACCCTCACAGTGAAAATCTTAGTGTTTTCACATGAGTAACAGCAATTTTACTTAAGATTTCAGTGTATGTGCGACAAATCCTGAAATGCGGCTCCACTTTAATGTCAGCTGAAGTTCCTGTGCAGCTTTTTCAGTTTCACGTAGAAAGAACAGGAGTCTTTCTTTAATGGAGTGCATTATTTATTCTGGGCTATGCTGAAGGAGGGGAGTTCCCTAGAGACTAGATAGTGATTTAACTCTGTGCTTCCTTCACCAATCTGGTGAGACATATTTGAGTGTATCTTAATGGATTCATTTCCAAGCTTTCACTGTGGATTTATGAGGGATACAGTTTATGCAGAAAACTTACGGAATTCCTAAAAGACTGAAAGTATGAATCTGGCTAACTTGTTCTCAGTTACTTTTTGGTGATGTCTGTTGAACATAACACTTTAGCTGAGACCTACTTCCCGAGAGAGCATAACAGCGATATGTGAGCTTTCACTGTCCCCAGCATGTGATGATCAGGGTGAGGTTGAGGCAAGACACCTTTCAAGTCCTAACCTAGAGCAGAGTCCATTGTTTGGGAAGCTTGGTCTGTGCCTCCAGCGATTGTAATCAGCCTGGAGTTTGGCATATGTGGCTAACAGTTGCTCTTTGACCTCTTCAACTAAGACTGCAATAGTTGTAGTGTCCAGACGGGCAATTTCAGTGGGCAGTCCAAGTTTGGTCATTTATCTACCGTTCCTACTAGTTCCTTACAGAGGTGGTTCTGAAGTTGCACATGGTTGAGCCTCCTACTGAACACCCGGGCTAAGTAATGTGGGGAAGGCCTTCCCTTTGATATTTGTTTTGTTACCTCTGTGTCATTCAGGACTGTGGTAACAAGTCATTTGATGGTCATTTTTCACGAGAAGCTTGAAAACGAGTTGTTTTGTCTTTATTTCTCCTTGACTGGCTGAGCATGTAACTACTTGCTGCATGCTTGTTTATACAGAACTAGGTGCTAAGAATGGTTTTTCAGTTGTGTTTTTTTTCTTCCTTTTTTCCCTGGAGATAATAGAAACAACACTGAAGCATTCACTTTGGAGAGTGAAACCTCCCCCTTCAAGCTCCCCCCTGTCAAATGTCTTCCCGGGCTTTGCAAACAAGAAAAATAAGCTTAATTTGGTCTGCTCTCCCCTCAAGCAGTAGTACTTTCTCTTCAGAGAGTTTTAAGCAGTGCCACATGTGTGTGCTGTCCCATGTTGCATGTACCAGTTTTTTTCCAGCTGATGTCCAAATGTGATGGAAGCTCCAGGCAAGAAAAGTAGTGCATGGCCACACTGTTGTTTTCAGACTTGGTTGCCTGGGAAACTTGATCTGAGGGGGGAAATGGGGGGAGAGGAAGGTGATGTCAAAGCAATCTTATGCCGTGCCTGCACTGAGGGCACTGAGCTCTTGGCCAGGCGCTGCCAAGCAGCAGTGTGTTTGTGCACGTGCGTTGGGGGGGGTGTGTGTGTGTGTGTGCATGCGTGCACACTGCTCAGCTGGGCTCTGCTGGGCTCCTGTCTGACAGCCATGGGGCTTCCAGTGCCATTATGGGATTTGCTCAATGAGAGCAGCATTTTTCTCTTTTCCCCCTTCCCCCCGCCCCCGAATTAGGTGCCTTTATTTTGGACTGAAGATCAGCGTTTGGGTGCATGTGGATGTGCATATGGATCTAGCGTTTTACATTCTAAACCAGTTGCTAAACAGCTTTGTCTGTCTTCTGCCTCTCAGGGTTAATGTATTAGTGTGTGTAAACCTTAATCATCTAATAGATGTTAAAATATAGTTTGTTGTATCTTCTGTCCCGTTAACAGGGAACGTTACAAGAGAGTGACTGCAGGGTGCACCTGCCTGCTGGCTCTTCCTGTGGGCTGACTCCTGTTTTTCTGAGGTGGTTTGGAGCATCTCGACAAGGTAGCACAAACAGTATTGCTGAGCTGCTCATGGGGGGCTGACTGTTTAATGGAGAATTGAATTTTTCAGCCCTCCTCCGTTTCCTGCCTAAGGATGGCATTAGCTTGCAATTTGATGACTAGTAATTACACGGACTTCACTGAAGACACACGTCTCTTAGACCAGTTTTATGAAATGCTGCTGTTAAAGCATAAAAACACAGCCCCTGTGCAGAGGTCTCAGTGGAAGACATTGGGCTGTGTGCTCATATTCCCTGTACAATGTATCTTCACCAACAGGTTTCTTCTTAAAGCACAGAAATTACCAGACGTAACCAGAACACTATACAATGCTGCTATAGAAGTCATAGGTAGTTGTGGGGGAAGGAGATCTTTAGCCAAAACCTAGGGAGGTTTCATTTATTTATCGAAACCTCACTATATAGCTACAAGCTTGTTGGCTGTCAGAATGGAAATATATACAAACGAGGGATTGTAAGGAGGTCAGTGAAAACCTACCCAAATGGAAACAAACAAAAAAGCCAGGTACCAGTTTTGATCATGTTGTGTCTCTGTATCAGCAATGGAAATGAGCAGAATTTGGTCAAAGTGTATAGACCTTTCATTTCTGTGTAAATGGAAGCGTCTGTGTGCATCAGGGGATGGGAGCTGCTCCCACCTGACAGTTACAGTGAGGGTGCTGGGTGCCAGTGTTTCTTTCAGGTCAGAATTTTTGCACAATTAATTATGAAAACTAAAACAGCCTAAGCACAGCTGTTACCTTCTGTACTTTCTGCAGAAGGCTAGTGAGACTGTTTGAAGGTACATACTTATTCTTCTGAAGAAGGGTTTTTTTTCCTCCCCTTTTCCTTACACGGAAGCTGCAGCTTGTCACAACCTGAAATGCTGTGCAACTGCTGAAGCTACTCAGGGAAAAGAAAAGGCCAGGAGGTGGGGAGTTGGGGGGGGAGATGACAAGGTGATAGGGAAGTAGCTGGATGTGGAGGTATGGCTGCTCTGCTGAACAGCAATAGCACCTGCTGGTACTACTCAGTGGTGTTTTCTCTAACTACAGGGTGTTGGCTATTGGACAAAGACTTGTCAAGGGGGAAGGGAGAGCAGAATTGGCAAATGCCGCACACTAACCCTGGCAGTAGGCACTTGACAGAGCGTACTCTGTACCAAAAACGTGGTGAGAGGTGGGGTTTGGTTGTGTTGGTGGATGGGGGGGTGCACGTGTGTGTAGTGCAGACTGTTGGGTTTGTTCTTTACTAGCCTGGTGTTGGGCACAACTTCAGCAGCGGAGGTACCAGTCACCTTCCTTTGCAAACCTTTGCTGAACCAGCTCACAGAGATGGCAGGAGTGGCTCAGCTGACACAACGTCCCATCTACCTGCTCTGGTAAGTGCAGCGCCTCTGCCTTGCTCCCGGCTGAGGTGTGGGCACACCGCAGGCACTCGCTGCGTCACCGCAGCTGCCCGCCTGCCCTGCTGAGCCCGGCTGGCAGCAGGAGGGCCTGCAGCCCTGACTGCAGCCATTTGTTACCCTATCAGTCAGTGGGACAGAGGATGATAAAATACACGGGCACACGAATGCTTTTTTTTTTTTTGAATTAATTTTTTTAAGAAACTGCATACATCAGAGACAAACAATAATTTAAATATCATGCAGTTTCAGTATGTACAAAAACTAGGACATAGAGATCCAGTTTAATTTTTTTTTTCTAGTTATTTACATCATTTTCATACAGCCATAATCTGTTAAATTACAATACTGGAAGAGCACATATGATTGACAGCCACCACACTCACTCCTATACAAAGACAAACTATATACATACACTTGGATATCAACTGGAAAATGCAACTGGTGCAGGAGTAACTGGGACACATGGGAATGCAGGTAATGTGCCCGTTACCTCCTCTTTGTTTATAGAAGTTGTTCCAAGCTCAAGCAGACTGAACACCTGGGCAAAATAATTTGTCCCCGTTTTTCTTTCCTGATATTTTTATTAGCCTAGTCATCTCTCATGGCTATTTATATGAAGTGATTTTATTTGCAGGCACGTTAGGGAGCCCCCATTCACGTACAACTATGGGTTTCCATCTCACCCATCTATTTTTATGAATGCAGGCTTTCACTAGCTTGTTAGAAGTGCTCCCCCTCTGTTGGTTTACCGAGTTTCCACTGTACAGACAGCACTGTAGAAATAATGAAGGGTGAGTTTGGTAACTAGCTGCAGTGATGACAAAGTGCTGTGGTTACATGTAAGTATTATGCTGAAATATATTTGTGTAATGGGCTAAGTTGTGTCAGTTAACATAAACTAGTTAGAAGTCTATTATATTCTTTACCCCCCTTCCTGCTCTTCTGATAATGTCTGGAGTGCACACTAGGAATTGTCTAAACACAAAAGCTGGCCTGAGCCCTGTCCCAGCAAACCTGCAACCTGAACTTCAGCTTGCAAGTACCTATCCAGCAGGGTGTATGGTGGGGAAAGGCCACAACGCTGACCTTCCCTGTTAGTCATAAATACATCACCAGGTCCCTGCAGCCTGCTGCTGGCTAAGGTGTAGATGGGAGGGCAATGCCACCATTGTGCTTCCTCACTGTCGCTTTTTTCTGAACAATTAAAACTTTTGTCTAGACATTTTAGAATTGCTTTTCCAATCCCTGCTGCCTCCTCAGCTCCCCACCCTGGTTTCCACTTCAGCTTTCCATAGGCTGTAGAACAGATGTCGTAGTACTTTCACATTTTAAGTATGAATAACCCATTGGGATTCAGTAGATTATAACCAAAATGTTGTTCTTTGACTGTAGAATGTTCTCTCCATTACCAGCCCTGGAGATGGATGATGGGAATAGCCATTTTTGTTCTGCATTGATTTTCCCATTCTGTAAACTTTATGTAATTTCTTTGTTACTACTATTAAATCTCCTCCTAATATGAATGAAGATGACTGGTGTGAACTACGATGTTAAAGGAGTCTTAGCAGGAAATGCCATCATCTTTGTCCTATGCATAATCCAGGTTGAAGGGGGGGGGGAAATCATGACTGTTTGGTTTTTGATTCCCCCTTGCAACAGCAACTCCTTTGCTGTGACAGAGATGGCTTTCACAGATGAGAAAACAAGTGCTCAAGAAAACAGATATTAAAAAAAAAAAAAAAAAGGACTAGCTGTTCCCCAGTTCACTTTCAATTTCCCTTGGATGCCAGTGGTGGGTGTGCAAACCGAGGATGTACTGCAGCATTCAGGCACTGAAAGGTTGTTGAATAATGCCTTGCCAAAGGGTAACTTTGCAAAGTACCCAGACTCACTGAAGCGAAAACCAGATGAAATGCCAGTTCTACGATGCTTCCTGCAGTGCCAAACACTTTATATGGCTTCTTTCTCTCCCCTTTTCAGTAATAAGCTCTACCAGCAGTTTGGGAGAAATATGGCAGTTCTTCCACTGTGTCCTGGTGACTGCTCAGCCAGGAGTTAACATAATTAGTAAAAAAAAAAAAAAAAAGAAAAAGAAAGAAAAAAGAAAAAAAAGGAAGAAGCATTGCTGCATGGAGCTGCCCTGGTGACCGCATGAATCCTGAGGCAGGCTGAGCGTGACAACTTGCTGCACAGACAGCCTTGGGCCCAGCCAGGTGAAGGCAGGTGCTGGGGAATGTCCGCGGTCGTCAGCCAGGACTCTGCTGTTACGTGCCTCAACCAGTGCCCAAGGGTTTATTTAGGCTACCAGCCTGGCAGGCCTGGCTGTCACTGGGGTCCCTGCCCACGAGGGACAGTGGCAGTACCCAGAGTGACACTGCCCACAGGCTGCCCATTGCCCTGGGACTAGCACTGAAAACAGACTCATGGTAGCAGTTGCTACTTTCACCTCCTTCCTCTTCATTTTAATCATAAAATGAAAAAAAAAAAATCTCACCTTTTCCTCCCACCAGCCTGCTGAGTTCTGTGATGGTTACTGCTGCTCCTTAAATGGCCTACTCTCATGGTGAACCTCTAAGCTAACAATGGCAGGGCAGGTATGGGATCCATACTGGGAACATGAGGGCTTGCTGCTCTTCAAAACAGCTATGTTGCAGGGCATTTTCCTAGTACTGTGTATGTGCAGTCAAAAAAAGCACAGCGTTTTGTTTTCCCTTTTTAAAGCTGTGATGCAGTCTTGTTACATGTGTATGTGTATGTGAATGAATTTAAAAACATGAACCCCAGGTTTTCATGAAAATAACCCCAAAGCAGTGGATTCCTGGCTAGTAGATAAGTGCTCTCTGTCTTTGCTGCACTGAGCGGATAACATTGCACATTAAAGGCTTTCACTACTGCTGAACTTGTATCTAAAGTGACTGCAGGCTGGTGATACAGGGGTCACTGGGTGTGTTTCTTCAGAAATCATCACCCAGCCTGGAATACCGCAAAAATGAGGCACCAGAAACCAGCTGGTTTTTGCTTTCATTTGTAGCATCTTCCATCCTATTCTTAGTTAATAGCTAATAATCCACAGCATTGCAAGGACAGCCACACATGAGAATGAAAACGTTTGCTTGTCTCTGACAGAGAGCAAATCTGTGAGGTATTAAGCACCACCACTAAGCATAAATGGAGTGAGTCAGCCTCACTGCCAGTGTCACTTGGGCAGGCTGAATGCTAGAGCAACTCCATGGGCTATGTGCAGGTCCTTTTGCTTTACTCCTGCGACCAAAGGAATGAGATGGAGGCCTGAGAAGAGGCAGGAGTGTTGGCACTATGCAGCCTTGGCCATTAAATGCTTGGGTGCAAGAGACTTCTCAGCCCAAAATCAGTGAAGGGCAACATTAGCATGGCATCAGGGGAGGTAGAGAGGGAGCACAGAAGAATGGATAGCTACATGGAAGACTGTGAGAAAGGAAAAAATAATAGAAATAACAATACTGTAGTAAAAAAACTTTGGCCTCTCTGTTCAACCTGTCAAAGCAAAATAGCTCTTATGGAAGAAAAAAAGGTCCTGAAGTAATAATCTAGAACTCCTGACAATTTTGCTACAGTGCTTTGGGCCAATGGTCCAAAACATGGCATAATAGTTTCTTGCTAGAACTGGAAAGGAATCCAAGACAATGTTTGCCTCAACTTGCTGGAGTCAAGGACTTTATTTTAGAAGGTGCTGGCCTTAGTTCAGAAAAGCACTTAAATGTGTTCAGCTTCGGTTAAGCCTGTCAGACATGTTCTTGAATGCAGTGAGGCTGTTTGCATGCTTACGCAGTGTTAAGCACACGCTTAAATTGGCAGGTAAACCAAGCCCAGAGTGACCAGCTCTCTGAGCTCTACTTGGTCAGTTTGTGTGTAAAACCACTATACTAAAAAGAAATTAAAACCAAAACATAACACCTCTGAATTGCTGTCCTTATACCTCAGCTGTGGGTACCAGTGATGAGTCCCACCATCCATACCAATGCATCAGGCTCCTTTTGTTAGGTCAGGTAACACAACCTGTCACACTTTTCTCAGTGTGAGTTTAGGATCAGTTCTTGAAACACATGATATAAGAGAGGATAGACATCCCTCATCAGAGCCCAGTTCCTCCTGTTGTGTGTCCCTCTGCAGAGCTGGTGGGAATCCCAGCCTTTCTTGCTGCCAGGCATGCGCTGGCTCTCATACAGTCATGAGGCTTGGGTGTAAAAAACTACAAGCTGAGCGAATGCCATGCAGTGACCATGAAGAGATGGGGTTTGCTTGCTTGTCCTTAACATTCTTATCGCTTACTGCTGATGGGTTCACAATGGTGTTTAGAAAATTATACCTGAAAGAGATGAAAAATAGTTGCTAGAATGGAACCAGCCTTCGCTAGGGAGTCCTGTTCTTTACAGGTGATGCCATTTTCTGGTTGGGAGCTGAACAGTGCCTATTGACTGGCCATAAACTTTTCCAGGGAAAGAAATGCTTTTCTAGTCAGATGATATTCACAGATGGGCTGGCCTGTTTTGCTCCTTCACAATCCTCATAAGGTGCTTGCAGCCTGAAAGGAGTGTTTGGTATAAGTGCTTTAGTGCTGTAGGTGCTCATCTTTTGGAGACTTCACGCAGGCCAGTGACTCCTTGAACACCATCTCAGGGCTCTCTAGACTTGATGACAGAGGCTTGTCAGGATGAGGGGTGCCTGAAGACGAAATGGATGCACCGCCAGCTGGGCTTGAACATGTATGGCAAATCCACATGCCGGGAAAGTCTTATACATAGATGCCAAGTCTTGGCATGATTCCCACCAGGGGTATTTTCTGTTATTGAAACTTGAACCAGCAGGTCTGATGATGCTGCAGTACCCATCACATGTAAATACAATTCTCCTGGGTTTTTTATATTTATTTTTCTACTATTTTTTTTTTTTAAAAAGGCAGTTCAGAAGATTTACATTGTACGTAACAGAGAAGTGAATAATACCAGCACTTATGGTTCCTTTTAGTTATGTTTTGAAGATGGCATAGTAGTCAGGTAGAATTGAACTGCTACGGTCTGTGAAACCTAAAAGCCAAGGGAAAAAAAAATAGTAAGAGAATCACATGCGTATTATACATAAAAAAATGGAGAACTAATTGCTACAACTAGGCAGCTTGATTCCTGCAGCGCTGGCACTGTGGACCCAGAACAGACATTCACACTTCTCTGATCCTCAACAGACTTGCAGTTCATAGGCATAAGCAGCTTGCATCAAAATACACCAAAGACACTAACAGGCTTTGGGTCCATCCTATCCGATCCCTGAGTGAGTTATTAGCTAGTCCTCTTTCAGACCACATCATGCTTGATTCCACAAAAATTGTCTGATTTAGACAAACCTGACAACCAGAAAGATTTACTTACAATTCAAGCATAATTATTTCTTAATGTCAGAAGCTAAAGAGACAAGTAGAGCTTAAATGGCCACCCTTCCTGCAAGTACACCCTGTGTCAGAAGGCCTGGGTTTGTCAGCTCTGCAAATATATTTTTTATTAAGCTTTGATTTTTCACTCTATCATGAATTAATTAATGTGTCCCACTAGTAAAGCACCACACATTCTTTGCTCAGCTCATGCCTCTGCTTAATGACATGAATAGCTCATTACCTTGCTAATGATTTTATAATGGTGATTTATCTAAGTTTGTTTAAGGGAATTACTCTATTTTGTCTAAGTGTGCCTCCTTCAAGTGCATACATCCTGAAGCCACTTGTCTAACCAGTAAGTCCTGCTGAACTTCAGACAGACTCTTACTCCAATTTCTATTATATTACCTCTACCTCTGAGTATGCCTGGCTCACACTCAGTGAGTCAAAGCTACTCAGTGGCTTTCAAATTAAAACTGAGTCACCTCATAGGGTCACTGCTTACCCCAACATTGGAAGAGAAGCAAAATACTGCCCAGAAACCTGCGAAAGCCAAGCAACTCAAGAGACTGCCAGAAAACTAAGCCAGTCTCTGTGTGGGATGCTAAAGACCTCATGGAAATCAATGGAGTTCTGTGGAGCTCAACTCCGTGTAGCAACACCCCCTTTAAAACAGCCTTATCCTTTCTAAATTTGTCATTGCTCTCCTGGAGTAGTGAGCCAAATGTCCCTCAAAGGCTCAGTCACTGGGGTCAACAGATCTAGGCCAACTGCACCCCCTAAAGCTTCTTTCAGATCTTGTGGCTCGAAAGCAGCTGGCTTGTCTCTAGCAGCACTCCGTTATTGCAAACCCCAGTGCAACCATCCTAGCACGTGCTAAGAAGTAGAAGGGAGACTGTTGCTGCAAGGGAATATATGCATAATACATACGGTGAATTTTAATATAATTATTAATTTATACACATAAAAATGCCCTAATGCAAAATTTATTTTGCCTTAAGCTTTTCTGTATTTTTCTTAAAAGTGTGAACTGCATTTTTTATGAGCACCTGGCTGATGAACGTATTAATATGAGGGCAGTGCCAGTTTTGCACCAGATCTCACTGTCACTTGTCTTCAATACCTAGCGCTTGTCTTTAATGTTTAACAATGAGTGGGGTGTTAACGTTGAATTTGTAAAGGCCTGACTTCAGCTGAAATGCCAGGAGTTCAGCTCATCTCAGCATCAAAGCCAGAGCAGACTCAGCACAGGCTGTGTGAGGGGACGTGCCCTGACCTCCCAGCATGCCTTGCCCGAGCCTGTCAGAAAGGAGGGCTGTTAGTTTGGGGTCATGGATAAGTCATTTGATCTCTACCTTTTTAACTAAAAAAAGCCTAGGCATGTAAAAAAATAGTGGTTCTCTTATAATGCCAAACTTGCTATTTCCCCACTGCACCGCCTATGGCAGGACACAGAGGACAGGACTGAGAGATCTGTGTGTGGGACGTGCATAGTGTGGAACAGCTGTAAGGCTCCGTGGGGTTTTAGTGTACATGCGTTTGTCCCTTGCTATGTGCTGGCTCTACGAGAGTTTCCTGTCCTTCTTCAGACAACAACACTATTAACTTTTGCTATCAGAAGAACAGACATACAGCCAAAGCACGATGATTTGAAAAATAAAATTAAAGGAGGTTACACTTTATTAAACAGACGGCACGTGCCTGCACACCACCACATGACGGGGCAGCACGAGTTCATATGTGCGAATTCCTTTTACAGCCTGTAATTCTAAATGTTGTCTAGACCTCATGGTGTGTTCAGTGGATGATGGAGAAACAGCTGCTCGGTTGGTTGGTTTTTTTTTTTGAAAACAACAGTATTCACTGATAGTATTAAAAAATTAATCTCAGCTTACCTTGTTAGATGCCTACTTAATTCATGGACTTCCATTTCAGTGCTTTTAAATTCATTAAGCTCTTTCCGAATGGCTGCCTGTAAAGGACAAATAAACTCATAAATGTATAAAAAAGAGAGATCAAAATAAGTTCACTTTGTTCTCAAAACAGTGTATTAAAAGTGAAGCAGATAGCTAACATTATCAGAGAGAGAAAGAAAAACATAAAAAAGACTTTAAAATGTGAAAAGGAACAGAGATAAACATGTTCTAAATTACATAAAGGGAAAAGATAAATCCTTTGGTGGAATGGCTCGATTTGAAAATGCATCATAGACAATGCAGATACAGAACCAGTTCTGGCTTATTATGTAAACACTTTCATGTACAAAATCCAAATTAGGTAAGCATGAGAAAAAAAACGTGCACCACAGTTTCTCAAACACTGCGATTGGTTTCAGAGCTGGGCTGTGAGAAAACTCCACCTGGATCCTGACAGACTCACGTGAGATGTCTCCTGCCTTTATGCAGTCCTGAATTTCCTTGTGTGAAGTTGCCTAAAGGGGCTGAGCTTACTTGGAGGAAAAGAGGGATGCCTGGCTGCCTACCCTCCTCTCCACCTCGGGCTGTGCCCCTCTCCCTCCTCCTCCCTTCTGACCTGGCTGTGGCATTTGCTGAACCGATTCAGTGTACTAATCCAGCAGAAAACTAGCCCCAGGTGGTTGTATTCAGCACCAGGAGACCCAGATACCTACAGCTGCTGCAGTTTGTCCAGGAGGGAGAATAAGGGGTGACTGGCAAGAAGAGAAATATGTAAGAGTTAAAAAAAGAAGGAGTGACTAGGAGGGACTCAGCTTTGTGGTGGAGTGGGGGCTCAGCAGAACTGGCTTAAGTCCCACACCCAAAGTCATGAATTCTGACAGCCCTGTGACAACTGCAGCTCACAGGTGGGCCTTGCCATGAGCATTTGGAGAGGACGTACAAGGTGGCTGCTGGGGCCAAATGCTCCCATGGGTCCAAGGTGTGTGGCTGCAGCCTTTCTGCATGATGCTGAAATTGGCATCAGTGGCTGCAAATGGCTCCAGTCAGTGGTCCTCATGTCTGTCAGGAATTTTTCTTCATGAAGGAAATCTAGTGCAAGCCTGAAACAGGGCTTTTGCAACAGCCACTGATACAGTCACCTTTGCCTTGACAAGCCCTAAGCAATAGATTTTGTGAGTGTGATCTATAGAAAAGGCTCCTTGTGCCCTTTCTGCAGAGCTTTGCTTTTTTATTTACCCTAGAAATATCTGTCAGGCTCTGCCTCCATCTATCAGGACAGAGCAGTAGCTATGCAGCAACTGAAGGGCCTACCTTCAGCAGACCAATTTGCTGCTTAAGTGACTGTGAAGGAGGCCACATGGGCTGCTGACTCTCGCAAGGTCTGAAATCTATTCCCGCCTGCATCTTTCAGCTGTTGGAGAGATTTAGAAGTGTCCTTTTTATTCCTGTAACAGTCAGACTTGGTAAAGACAAAGTCAGGCTGAAGGCAGTTCCCTACATCCAGCACACAGAGCAAGATTTACTGACAGAGAAGTCTGTTACTAAAATCTGTTTTCTGCAATAAATCTATCCTGTGCTGACCGACGAAGAGAGTTATTGAATCAAAACTCTGGAAGAAAGTAATCTTTTACAGGATGTTGCAGTTTTGTCAGGCATTTCAGAGTTGCTTCCAGTTTGTCTGGTTATTTGTTACAAAAACAGTGGACAGAGTGGGGGGGGAAAGCAGATCATCTGAAATCAGAATACCACCCATATGACCCAACTCCCCCAAAAATATATGTGCTTCCTTATGCCATAAGGGGCATTAACATTAGAATGACAATTTGTTCTTCTCCTGCTTTGCTTAGAAAAGGCTCATTTGGAGAACATAAGCCCTTTGCTCAGTGTACTGACTTTGCAAATGCAGTATAAGAAAGAAAACGTGGCCTCAAAGTACTTTGCCTTAGTACTGAATTCTTTACTAGGCTATGTTTAATAGTGGTATTTAATACTTTTTCTTTTCACAGGATGAGAAAGGACCTCTCTGCACACCAAATCTTCCCCTTTCCAGATGAAGTCTCTCCATGCCTTTAATCTCATACAGGGATCTCTCAAAGGCTGTGGAAACCAGTTGGAGATTTATTCTCTCCCTCATCTACCAATTGGGAGAATATAACTAAGCCAGCTGAATAAGATCTTGTCCAACGTGGTGAGGTAAAATGGGAAAAGCTGATTTAACCCAGTATATTATGGTCTGTGGACAGTCCAGAGGAAGTTTTTCTTTTTTATTCGATCAGTTTATGCTACAATAATTTATGCAAAGCTAAACTGGAAAAGCCCTCTGTCAAGGAGAAAACCAGTGGTCAGAAAACTATACAAGTCCTCTGGTTAAATTATAAAGTAGCATGGGCTGCCCCTTCCTCTGTGAATAAACTCAAGAGCACCATAAATGAGTGGCAAGTCAAGAATCCTGCTCCTGTCTCTAAACACTGGACATCATGGGCTCCATCACTGTTTGACTCCCACAGCAAAGAAAGTCAGGTACCACAAAGTCTTTAAAATCACATGGGCATCACAGAGCAACTAAAGCATGGCAGTCACTGATCAGCCCCATAGTCCTCTTTGTTTTCAGCTGCCATAAAATGTTTAAGTCTTCCTCCTGAGGCACCATTAAGACCCTTAGGATGTGACTGATGTAATTTTCCAGCACTTTAACCCCTCTGCCACCAGTGCCGACACCACAGACACCACTTGGTGAAGGTCCATCAGTGCCCTCAATACCAAACGTGCAGCTTTCCTCTATCTGCAGGGCTCATGCGATTTCAGTTTAGTGCTTAAAATACTCTGAGGAATGGAGTAAAGGCCCCTGTTGTAACACACTAGTGAGAAGTTACCTGGCTTCAGTGGGACGGAGGTGCCTTTGCCAGTTATGTGACCTGCTGCCATTTTTGCACCCAGGCCTGCTCAGTTCTGGCACAGCAATTTTTGCTGTCCCACTGCTCTGCTACATCTTGCAGGAATTCTCAGCTGGCAGCATTATGTGTCAAGACCAAAACCAACCAACCAACAAACAAGGTGGCTGCCATCGAGACCTTTCCTCAAAGGGCTTGACATTTTCTCCGCTCTGTTTAAGTGGTATAAATGCTGCTAGGCTTGCTCCTGCATTTCACACCTATAGGAGCCTTCTTGCCAAAGATTTATGACTCAAAATAACAAACCTTGTCAATGGGAAGAAGCCACAGGTGTGTTGGGAAGGGATGTCAGGTGGAGGTTTATTCCATGATGGTCATGGGACCTGTGGGACCTGAGGGATGCTGTTTGCTGTGACATGCTCTAGCTTTTCAGATCACTGCTCTCCCAAAGTTGTTCCACTTACTTTGTCAGCAGCTGTGAGTCGTGTCCAGGGTTTGTCCGCCCTCCTGTCGTAGTCCTGCGCGTCTGCCACTTCTACATAGTCACTGAAGCGGATGAGGATCTTCCTCTCACGTAGCTCTTCTACCGTAGGCCTTTGACTCAGCTGCAGGTTTGAGGAAGGAGTGGAGAAAGACATCAGGACTTTGCTTTTTCCCTGCACAGTGCTGCTTGGGGATTTTTTTTACTACAACCATCATTATGATAATAAGAGGATTCAGACATTCCCAGTACCGTTGTTTTTATCAATCTTTCACAGAATTGCTACTTGGAAGATAACCTCTTGTTAATAGTGCCTTAAGTATCATCCCACCCTGCTGCCGGAGCAGCCCACTGATGTTTGGGAAGCAACTGTGACCGGAGATCCCAATCCCTGGCTGACGTTGATCAACCATGGCAGAAGTGAGATGTAATGCAAGAAAGTCTCCTAGTGCACCAATGTCTCGGGAAGAGATGAAGACCATAACACAACTTTAGAACTACCCACACAGGCTGTATGCTCCCCAGCCTGGAGCTGCTGCGTGTGCTTACGTGCTGCCTGGGAAGAGTCAGGCAAAGGCACTGAGCTGCTTGTGCCCTGAATTATGTGCAAAAAGTGTCAAATGACTTTTCTTACCATTCTGATACTCTGCAGACTTGTCCTTACCTCCAGAAAAGGCAGGCAGGATGATGACTAGTGCTCACTGAACTTTTCACTGTATGCTGCAGCTCTATTTTGTGTCACAGCCTATTTGACTTTTAACAGTTTACACTGCATACTACAAGCCAAAAAAAAATAAATTGCAAGGGTGGATTGTATCATGTCAAGAAATCATCTTCATTGTTTCAAAGCATTTCTTTCAAATTCCACAGCAGATTATGCATCCACAGTCAAAACTTTCCTCTCAAATTAGAAACAGTAGCATGCTGGTAGTCCACCTATCGTGTAGCCAGTTACGTGGCTGGGGATAGGAATTGGCTTTCAGGGACCAATTCTCCTTGGATGCACAGCATGCTGGTTAATCTCAAAAGCAATTACACAACTGTTTCTGAAGAAGGTGCTACATATATATATATATATGCATGTGGCTGTAGGTTAGCTGCAAAAGTTTCACTATTAGAGTGGAATGTTTGCAATCATGATATATCAGGAAAAATAATATCCTGATAACAATTAGCTACACAGTATATCATACTATTCCCACTCACTAGAAGTAGGTGTGATTTGCAATACTTCACCCTTGTGAATAGTGAAAGGTCTAAATATTTCATGAAATGCCTAAGACTCTATTCTGCAAGGTTACTTCGGCTCCGGAATCCTGACATGCACTTCCAGGTTCCTCCCAAATTAAGTGTCTCAGTTCCTTACATTTCATCTTCCAGGGAGAATTATGATTCAAAACAGCCAGGATGCTAACTGGAGGGTGAAAAATCCCACCTTTCTCCAGCATTTGGGTGCTGATGCAAGATAGCTCCATTGCCCCATCCTGCCTCTGGCTTTAAATCCCTGTGTGCTTGTTCTTGGCATGGATGGTTGCCTCTCTCTTCTCTTTTCAGAAACATGGTTGTGATGGGAGGTGACAGTGGGGCTTACACCGATTAGCCCTGAGCATGCATTCACAAACTGGGTTCAAACACCTCTTGCAGAGAGTCTGCAGAGCTGCACTATTGTCCTGTCTGTGCGATGCTCAGGAGGACAGGAATCAAGTTCTGCCCTGTCTGGCTGCAGCCCAGCCATTTTGCACCCACCAAAGGCAGAGAAATCATGGAAAGGAAGTGTAGCCGGTAGCACAGCTCCGCACTCTGCTATGTAATGCCCTTGCCTAGGACAGCTGGCATCAGTCAAGTCACAGCTCAGCAGTTCATCTGTTGTCTCCAAAGCCATTTTAGGGTAAATGACAATGTTTAATAGGGGGAAAAGCTCCTTGCTGGTTTGAAAAAGAACAACTTCTAATCATCTAAATATTGCAAAGATCTTAAAACTATAGAGTTTTCTCAGCACTACCTTCTTCCGTGGGGCACATTAAGTTTCCTAGGGTGAGCTGCTCTGCGTGTGGGTGTCACGCAACATTCCTCCAATTTCTTCCAAAAGCTTCTCAGGAAAAGCCCTCTTTGGTACACCCACATTCAGGCCAGCCATACTCAGGTCAGGCAAAGAGCATGTATGCAGTGAGGTTAGCAAGAAACATGCCTTTCTGAACTCAAGACTACATTTTTGGGACCTTTTTTCAAAAAAGCAAAATACATCCACAGTAGGCATAAAGTTTTTAGCTTTTTTCAGACAACAGGATAAATGTATCTCTGAGCTAGAGTACCATGTCAGAAAAGCCAGAGTAGATAGAAACACGTATAGATTTTAAAATGTTATTTTTCATTTTAACGGAACAGAATTGCCTCTTCAGCCTGCATCCCTGATACCTACACCTAAGTCATCTGCAAGGCAAATACACTCTGCAATTAGTAGACAGGCTTTTAACAAAAGCTATACCACGCTTCGAGCATAATCACAGTCACACCATGAGTGAAGCTTCTCTCTGTCCTGCAACTCATCTTGAATGCAATTTCAAATTGGTAGGTTTTTCTATCAACCCTAGTACTAGGAACAGCAGCTGATACATTATTATTCAGACAGCACAGCAGAGTTTTGCTTTGGATTATTTAAAATCTAACCCCTGACTATGGGAATAGAGGATCTTTATGCTAAAATAATATTATGACTACACCTAAAAAATTCAAATATAAAGGCCAGCCTCCATCTCTACTTGCATCCAGTGCTCCTTTCCTCACAACAATATGAATTAAGGGTGAATCACCAATATTACCTGTGCATTTCTCAGCTTTTATCATTTTAGGACATAGCCTAAATGTTGTTTTTCAGATTACAATGGAATTTTTTGAAAAATAAAATGTCTTACTACATGGAATATGATGACACCAACAAAATATGAAATCATGTGAATTAAACTCTGTGTTTCTAAGTGGCTATAAGGGAAGCAGCAATTCCTACAAGCTTTCCAAGCTGAAAGAGGACTTTTAAAAAATGAGTGGCTCTATTTCACAGCTTCTGTCAGGGTCTTGATATTAGTCAGCTTTCACGGTTGTGCTAATCGAAGTGATTAAGTTTGTACAAAGGAGAAGGTGGCTGTTGATACACTGAAACGTGCTGTGCCAGGCTGTTGTCTAGTTGGTGTCAAGAAGGCAAGAACATCAAGTGCCACAGAGGTGGTGGTCCTTCTGCTGGCCATGTGAATTCATTGCTGGTATTTACCTCAATGCTGCACTGGGTCTTAAACAGCTAATCTGGCTTCCTTGGTGTGCTGGGTGCAGGTTAAAATCAAAGAAATGATCGTAAATGTTAAGGGTCACGTGATGAAAGGAGACACATCTGAGGTAAGTTCTTATGTTTGCAAATGCACAAAAATCAAATCAGGTGCATCACCTACACATTTTATAGCACTGAAACTCACTGTGACCCTTTAGTGGGTGTGAACAATGATGCAGTGAATTATATGTGAAAATATTTCAATATTTCATAAGCACATCAATGTTAATGTGCATTTTTCATTCTTAGGTGACAACTGAACGTAAGACAGACTAAAACCTGCTTCTTCTCTTCCTCTGAAGTCATACAACTATTACTGTATATTATTTTTAGAAGCCCTGCCTTTGCTTCAGAAACCGACAACCAGTGCAATTTCAGGTACTTATACACCCCACAGAGCACTTGGAACAACAGAAGCACAGAGACTGGGCAACAAGCTCAAGGTGACCCAGGACACCTGGGGCAGAGCTATGAACAGAAAAAAGATGCACTGACTCTTGTGCCAGTGCCCTGGCTGTGAAACAGTCCCGAAATCCACAGCCTGTAGCATATAGTTCATGTGTAGCCATAAATCTACATATATTTACATACATAAATCTACATATATTTACATATATAAACACACACACACACAAAATATATTCAGTAGATTAAACTAAAGTGCCAATCTGATCATACTAAATGTAAAGAGAGGGACAACCACACCAAGTGGTTTTCTAAAAGCAATTAATTAAAGCTACATTATTGGAATGGTTCACAAACTCCCCGGCCTCTTTCTCATGCATTGCAGAGACTTCTTGTGAGCTGCTAAGCATGAAGGTCTCTCAGTATGTCTGGGCTACCCAGCATCCTTAACTCTTAAACAGCTGGGGAAACAGCTTTGCAGAGCAGACTCTAAGTGGCTCCGTTGTAGGTGTCAGTTCAATGTTTGTTCACGCTGAGGGCACAGCTCACCTGAGATCTCACCTTGGAGTTTATTTTTATGACCTGTGAGCTGAGGTCTCTCGGGTCAAAACCGGTTAATGCTACGCAATCCTTCTTGGGCAACACCTGTGAGTGAGCGCTGCTTCTTCAAACAGGCAGAAAGAACAGGGCACGTTCAAAACTACAGTAAAGGACATGGTCAAGGACACGATGCGACTGCCTGCACAAGGTGGTGGTGCTCCGAGCTGGGGGAAAGGGATCTTACTCACTGAGCTGGACCTTATTTTACTTATTTCTGTCAAATGTCAAAGGGATGTGCACGTGTGTGTCTGGACTTTTTCTGGGTTTGCCACCTGGGCATACACATTTCTATTTACCTGTTTGTGAATATTTGAGAGCTGAGGGAGCAGGATAACTTTATGGTGAGTGACCTTGTTATGTGAATGTGAACCAGGACAAAAATCCCTTTTGAAGTAAACAGATTGTATTAATGCAAAAGCAGTGTAAATGAGGACAGCACCTCTCATGTCTTGTCACGGGAGGTCAAGTTTTCCTCTGTATCACTGGAGATAAAAATGGGCATGTTTCAAGCTTTGACACTAAGCCAATTTGCAAGGGACGGTTTAACACCACCCCCTTTGTTCTTGGCATGGGAAATGAAGCAAACCCAAGCACCACCACCAAGTAAAGTGGAGCGGGACGCACTCTTGCCAGTCCAGTCTCGGGATTTAGTCAAATCCAAAATGCTGAGTTTGCTCCACTTCAGTCACAATGAAGCTTGTTGTCTTGTCACTCCATCACTGCCTGCTTTGTAACCTCGTTAAAATGTTATGGTTGTTATTTAAGGAAGAAGCCAAAGTGAAAAATTACAGATCCTAACAGGCAGTGTACACAACTTCCTCTCTCCTTTGCTCCCCACCTTTTGTGGTAAAACATAGGAGCAGGGTGTGATGAAAATGCCCTGAAGACCTTTCCCTCTGACTATAAATGCAGTTTATCCAAATTAGCCACTAACCTTTTTTCTTCTCTGACCTTTCCCCTCCCCTCTGCCTCCCTCTCACCTCCTTCTGATGAGTCTCACCTCTCTTAAGGTTCATTATTTTGAACAGCCTCTGAGGATGCAAGCCAGCAGAGTCAATTAAAGAAAAGATTGAACCGCGAGACATTTCCCAGTGAGGCATCAGTGAATGGAGAGTTTAAGTTGTTCCAGGGCAGGAATTTAATGGGAATAAATATTTCAGATTATTGCATGGATTTTAAGAAACAGTCACACCTTATCATTTTGGTTGTTAATATTACAGTTACAAGATTTTTAGTTTTGGAGCAAAACCTCCAGGAAAAATTAGCTATTAACAGTGGGATATAGGAAGCAGTAAATAGCTCTGGGAAATGGGGAGCATGGTGCTATTTGAGAGAAGAGAAGGTAGAAAAAGTTTTATTCCTCTTTGCAAGTGATTTGTAACGTGTTCTGTTAATCCAGGCTACGATTTTCTCTCTGTAATGGAAATCCTCAGGGGAAGTTCAGGCTTGTGTTCATTGCTTTGTGCTTGGCCAAATTCACTGCAGTTCAGAGATGACAGATTCTTAGTAGTAATTCCTAGGGGACCAGTTTTCCTTGTGGAGAGGACCTGCTTGCAACACTTCTCCCAGAGGGCCTCTGCATGTTAATATTCCTGGAATGGGCTTGTGGGCCAAGACCAGTGCTCAGAAAAAAACCCTTCCTAATCCTCATGTCCCTCCACACAAATGAGGGAAGTCCATGCACCCAACACTGCTCAGTGCTCCCTGAGGGGCAGGGAGAGGGAGCACAGGGGTGATGGATGTGCAGAACCCATCCACGGGCATCTCAGGTGACAGGCAAATACGCTTCACCTCTCCTTTCTCGGGCAGAAGGGACTCGAGCTACAGAGAAACTGTACCAAACAGCATTTGCCTTCATTTTGTTCTTTGAATGGCAGCTATTCCCTATCCCCGGTTAATATGCAGTTACATGAGTCTGAGAGGATGAAAAGTGCTTAAAGGGGCAGCGCACTATAAGTCACCTGATTCAAAAAATTTTTTTTTTAGAAATTGCCTGTCCAGATGATTAATTCAATTGGATATTTATTGCTGACTTTAATAAGGCACCTAGACCTAGCAAGGTAATCTTACTTATTACAGCACATCATGTTACAACTTATCATCATAATACTGTAACAAAATGTCAGCACTGAAGGAATTTTAAGAACAGCTTTTTAATGGATGAAGTGGGTTGTTCCCTTGGAGTTGGAATGATGCCACCAAAAAATCAGCGGCAGTAGCAGTTTCTATAGTGCAAGGTCAAAAGTCTTGTGGGCGGCTTCTGCAGAACCCCCTTCCCTTCTTATTACCGACTACACATGGTTATGAGGAGGCAACGCGACATACTTTCCTTATGTTCAATCTACCCTGTGGGCATGTGCGTGCATTAAAACTCAGTGCAAACAGAAAGGTCTGCTGGGCAAAACACTTGCCATGCTCAATTAAACTTCTGCTTGATCTGAGGTTTAACACTGTTTGGTAATAAGACTTCAGTACAAATCGACAGAAGGAGTCTGCCACTCTGCTGCAGACACAATGGCACATCTGGGACATGCTCATGAAAGACAGAGCTGTAGAATAACAACAATTTTTGCAGGATTCGCTAGGTGGTTGGCATTTCTAGTTGTTATCTATCCACTTGCACACTTTATTCACTTCTTTCCTCTAGTGATTTCTGAGCTTTTATGACATTTGGTAGGCAAGAATAAAATTTGTTGTTAGACCAGGCCTGTGGTTCTTTCGTTAAAATGACATATCACTAGAACAATTTACAACAGTTTAAAAGGATGACTGAAGTCAAACCATGCTAAGTCATGTTGCTACCAACCTCACAAGTGTCGGGGAGAAAAGTCTTTACTAGGGAAGAAGCCAAAAAAGGCTAAAAGGAATGTGAGTGGGAACAGGGGTATGAACATTAAAGAACCGACTGCCAGAGGCTCAGACTGATGCTGCTCTCACCGTTGTTTCTACTTAGAAGTGCAAATAAGACAAAGAAAAACATCTCATAGAAAACTGCTGAGGTTTCAGGGAGCAGACACTGCTGCGATGCTATAGCAGCCTGGGTGTTTTAGCTGAGCATGTGGCTGTGGCCTCTGCCTGCACCAGACAATTCATGTGCTTTGTACCTTTTGAACAAAATAGCGGAGGATGGGAACTGTGCGGCGATAACACTGGCTGAGTTAGCAAGTCCTCACTTCTTAGGCAGCAGACTGGGTAAGGGTATCTTTGCTTTTTATCTATTACAGCCGTTCATCATGGCATCAAGTTTTGGATTGGATTCCTGTATGAGTTTACCCTTCAATGTACAGGGAAATCGAGAGCCTGGTAAAACTGTTATTTCTAGCCTTTCTGCAGAGCATGTCCCATGAAACATCTGCAATGCAGTTAGGATCTTTTCTTTCAGGCAGTGCTACAAGGGGATGTGAAACCATCCCGTCCATTGTTGTCAGGAATGTAAGTGTTTTAAAAATAATATTACAGCTCTCTGGGCCACAATCTTAGCTCCTGCAAACAAGAGCAGTATCTTCCCGTTGGTGACCAAGAACTATGCTGATTTATGTGAGCTGAGAATAAGGCTTGAGATTTTTAACCACAAAATCAAGCAATCCAGCTCTTTCCATGTATATCTACAGCCCTTTCCTTGTCATTATTTATACTATGAAAGCTTGTGATCACATAGGTCAAAAAACCGAAGCCACCTAAAAATGTACAGGGATGGATTGGTGCTGCTTCACAAGCGTATGAGTTTTTAGGGGGCTTTCTCCACCTCTGGAGACAGGAAATATGTCAGTGATGAAATGAAGTTTATCTGCAGTAACAGGATGGATTGTTGGCTATGTATGTTGGGGCATCTGTAGACATTTACACCAGCTGTGAAACTGAATGTGTGTATCTGAAATGATTGTTCTTCTGTCACAAGAGTAAATGACTTTCAAATGGGAGGAAAACCAAAACCAAACTATGCTGTTTTGCTCATCCTTCACTGCCAGTACAAGATTGGTTTTTGCACTATACGCCATTTTGCAAGTACTTGTCTCTATTTAGTTTAAATGTCTCAAGTGACAATTTCCCTTTCCAGAACAAGTTTATTTCCCAGTTTTATGCTTTTTTTAGGTGGAATTTTCAAACAGAATCAGCACTGTTTTAATTTTGCTCTTTTGGTAATGGCTTCAGAGGCCATGACATTTACAGGGAGCAGGGTTAAACCAATGCTAGGTTTTCTATCCTTCACTGTTCAAAGCTCCTTTGGTTTTTAAGACTAGATCTTCTTTTGTCCTGTTTCAAAATGTTACCAGCACTAGACTGCAAAGTGGTTCCCTTCACTCTCTGTGGACTTACACCCTGTAACATTGGTGATTTGTTTTAAAGATTTAAGACTTCTTTTCACACTCCACTTTTGAAAATGATGCTGAAGAAAAGGAAAAAGGCAAGCAACTGTGCAACAGGGAGAAAGTTACAGTAGTGTCATAATTGCTTCTCACCTTACGTGTTAATCTTCTCTTTATCTCTCGTTTTTCCTCCTGCTCCTCTTGCTCGTTCCGGGCTGTAAAAGATTTACAAGGATCTCAGGCTGTGGACACATTAGGCATGCACAGCATGCAACAAAATAAGCCTCTCCATCAGTTTCAGGACCTCTCTGATGCACAGCATGTCCCTCTGGGGATGGTGAACTTCCTTGATCCGTAGCTACCGCACTTCTTCACACACTTCATAAAACATCTACAGCCTCCTTCCTTTTCCTGTGTTGGCACCTCTTCAGGTGTGTCACTTTCTAGAAGGGCCAGGCAGTGAGCCAGCTCTTCAGAAACTCTTATCTCCCTGCCCACAGGCCCAGTGGCCTCAGGGGTTTCAGCTACGACAGAGTTGGATTCTGTGAGGCTGCAAGGTCAATGATTGGAAAAGAAAGATGTGCTTTTTTTTTTTTTTTTTTTTTTTTTTCCTCTACAGAATAATTTCTCGCAGCTATTCTTTGGAGAGAAAGGAAAAAAATAAATCAGAATAGTGCTGCTAGGCAAAATCCACAATGTCCCATGACCTGAGGAAAGTAAGGAGAGAGTCCTTCCATCATGTGCCTTCACAGCATCACACTGGAGCATAAAAGCACATCCCAGGGCAATTCACTTTCAACATTAAGCCTAAAGATCACATGTTACAAGTTCTTACCAGGGCAAGACTCAATCATTATCCATCAAGAGGACAATAACATTTGAGTACACTAACTCTTCTCAAACTTAGGAGAAGGCTGTCGTACATGTCTTTGCGGTGAACTTTACTAAGTCACTAAAAGCCCAGGTTTCTAGGTACTCAGCTCCTCCACCAGTTAGGATCCATTTCCCCTGCTCTACAGCTGAACTGCTCCTTACTCCAGTCACACTCGTGCATAACAGATGAGAGCAAACAGAATTCATCAGCTTTTCCAACAAGTACCCTGTGCCCCTGGTGTGATCTGGTTTTCACTCAAATAGGACTAGCTCAGGTAGAAGTAACTCTCTGCAGGGGAGATTATGGAACTCAAAGGCCAGTATGGGATAGGTAGCTTGATTTAAAATGTCCAATTTTGGACTGAATTAAAACCAAGGGGGAATCCCACATTCCTCTCTGCTGATCCCATGGGAGAAGCAGGCACCTCTGGCAGAGTGGCAGTAACAAACTGCCAGCCCTAACTTCTTCAGCCATGAGAGCACAGGTCAGCACTCCCACTAACCAACTGGGACAAGGCAAAAATAATATAAGCAGGTCCTAACCCAATGGAAGTCTGCCCACCGTGGAGCAGATGCAACATTTCAAACCAGTGCATTCAAAACTGGGGCTTTCGTCACACAGAAATAGGTGCTAAGGTTCAGAGAGCACAGAAATGTCTCAGCGGGTGAGGAGGGCTAAGCTGGCAGCCAGTTTCTTGCTGCCCAGGACAGTAGAGCTGACAGGTCTGTCACAACTGCTTACTGACTTCAGCAGGAATGGGACATCTCTACCAAAGTGGACAAAGACCCAGTCAATGTTTTGATGCTTTACAATGCGCTTCTGATCTTTAAATGCCATTTTACCGAAAATACTGTTTACATTTTCAGGAGAAAGTAAACTGATACTAGAATAAAAAGAACAGAAGACATCAGGGAGACACAAATGGCTTTTTAAATAATAACTGGAATACTGGTAAATATATTTTTCCTTTTTTCAGTGATTCCTGTCCCTACTGGGCTGGGTTCTCTTCTAGCAATTGCTTCTCTAGACATTTCATTCTTCCCTTTGTGTCTCAAATTTGGAGGAGCTGGTCCTGCAAATGTCTACTTTCAGGAACAGAGCCACTAATAAATCCTTGTCAGATTAAGCCAGAGAAACACAGTGCTAAATAGAGCCCACACAGAGTCACGGTAGAACTGCAAGCAGCCGAGAAGCTATGTATAAAACTTAGTTATGAGCATTCATTTTTGTACTTGGCATACGATATCTTTCTTTTCTCCTCACTTCTCAGCCCAGCTATCCACCTTCAGAGACAGCCAGGCAGGTTGAAGACCTCAGTCAGGTAAAAGCTGAGAATTAGAAATACATTCTCCTCCGAGACCAGAAAGTGACTTTGTTTTAGCTATTTCTTTAAAGTTAATTAAGTCATGCCAATCTTATGAAGCTCCCAAACTGTTGCTTTATTTTATCTTGTGTTCAGGAGATGATCTGTTTCTCTAGACCTGAGCATGTGAGGGTGGGTGTGTGCGGGTGAGATTTTCAGGCCTCATTTCTGTGCCAGTGTGAAATGTCCCTCAGTTCAGTCTGAGACCCTCAGTGCCTACCTAACCATCATTTTTGTCAGGAATTCATGCAACCCTGAATGTGCCAGGCTGTCAGCTGAACTACTTGCATCCATCTGAGAAGTGGCACAGGGGTGGTGCATGAAGGGAACCAAGGCATCCTTCCTCATAAACATGGCCAGCAAGTATTAACTGCAAAAAGTATTCTTTAGTCTTCATGCTAACTCTGAAGGTCTGGCCTCCTCCCACTACATGCCTTTGACTTAAATAAGAGTCAATGAATTGGGTACACTTCAGTGAAGGACCCTTCAAGCACCAGTGTCCCTGTTCTCTGTTTCTTTGCTGTGTGCTGCTGTCATCTTACAGTTTTTACCAGCAAATAGTGGAACTTGTACAACGGATGCTTTGCCCTTGTAATTCAATAAAGATGACCATCTCATGCAGCAGCATGAAGCTCGGAAGTGATCGCTTCATATATAAAGACTAGCTATCCCACCACATTTTGCCTCATTTATTCTGTCAGAACGGGCAATAATGTGGTTACACGTATAACAGGAACATCATGGTACCAGACATGACAATTGAATCAAGGACATTTCAGTTCTAACTGCAGAGGAAATCCTATTTAGTCTACTTGGGAGCTTGGTGAGTTTTCTTTTTTTTGTTTGCGTGTGTATGTGCATGCTCTGGACTGGGCTTTTGCAAACTGATTGACCTGCTTATGCAGACGATTTACACTCTTTTCATTATTGCTTCCCATGTCTCTTTTCCTCTAGGCTCCATTAAATTTATTTTAATTCTCCTTCTCATAAGTCTAAGGAAAGGACACAAAGTGATGTAAAAACCAGACACTATTTATATTTACTTGTTTATGGGTGGAGCATTTTATGCTTTCTTTTTTTAAAATTATGTAACTATTTTAGGTTTTTGTTCCTTTCCCGCTGTGCTTCACCAACAGTTGGGATGCCTTGGAAATATATTATTTCTTCCTGTAATTATAAAGCTGTTTGTCTACCAAGACACACATGTTTTGGAGCAGATCTGTGCTTAGGAACCAAGCTACAAAAATTTCATTTAGGAAACACAATATAGTTCTGGATTTAGGGTAGTATTTTCAAACGCATCCATGTCATTTAAGAGCCTTTATTCGATTAAAAAAGAAACTAATATGACTCAGGGAATAATTCCTCTGAAATTTAAGACACCTTCAGGTTGCTACGTGACTGGCTGCACTTAGCCACATGACCTTTAGGAATCTCTGCAAGGCACAGAGCACTGTAGGGGTAGCCTCTCTGCCAATGCTGGTTCAAACCCTGCTACCAAAGCAGCTGCCCAAGACCCGCACCCTCTCCCCTCACCAGTGCCAGGGTGGCGTTTACTGGTCATGCACCAGTGCCAGGTGGTGTATGACACGTTTGTTCCTAAGTCCCAGGATGACAACATGAGCTGCCCAGAGAATTGGCCTCTGTCCCTCCTTGCCCGAGCCTGGCATCAGTCACGTCACAGGTTCCCCCTCCCTCAGGCTGTTCTACTACCTGCCATGAAACAATCATATCTGGATGTGCCACCTATTTCCCCAGGTTCTGCCCCTGACTTCCTCCAGCAGGCAGTCACAGGAGTTAGGAGTAGATGGCCAGAGCACAGTTTGGGCTGGCCCCAAACAAATGGCTTTTCCGGTAGCCTTGGGCTCGCCCATGCTGCTCTGATGTCCAGTTTTTTTGCCTCTTTGCACTGACAGTGGCATCTCTCTCTTTCTCTTTGTCTGCCACGTGTCATAACAGGAACGGATGAAAACACCCTGCTGAGAGTTAACACTATCGTTAACTTGTTAGGAATTTGATTTGGAAGTATTTAATCAATTTTGTTAATTTTCAGATAATCATTCTTTTGCTACCACATCTTTATGATTCTGTACAATGCAGTTATTTGAACAAGAGAAGGTAAATTATGGACCTACCTAAGGAAACATTATGTATAAAGTACCATTCAGGAATACTTTTTCTGTAGTATTTCTGTAGTATTAAAAATTTCCCCAGTTTACTAACTTAAAAAGGGAATAACTTGTTTGTTTTGCTTTCTGTTTCTAATGCTTTTTTTTTTTTTTTTTTCATTTTTTCCTATTCATTCATGTGATTATGAGATTCATGCTAGACTCAGTTCTGCTTCCTTTGGAATTGGTAGTAATGTATCTACTAACAATTCATATCAGGGTCTCTAAACATTATTTTGTCCCTTTAAAATATAATTTCACATTTTGAGGATCTACCAGTGAGTTTCTGGCTGATTTAAAGAAGAGTTTCAGGGGAACATTTCAGGGAAATAATACTGAGTCACACTGGCTTATTTTTTTAATTGAACAAAGGCTCCACCTAGTCTAGATTGCTGTGAAAATTTTTAGGAAAACTAATCAAGCCATGTCCTAACGTCTTTACTAACTTGTAACAGGATGCTCATCTGTGTAAGAGCTACATAAAGGCTTTTCACTCACTCTGATTTAAAAAAAATTATTCTGCAGCTCTAGATGTTGCTACAGACTTGCACACTGATTTGCATTTATGATGCACTTTATTATTATTAATGATGCACATACAGAATAGCTGATGTTTTATAAAAAACACCCAACACACATCTGAACTTAACCTAAACAAGCTGGCTTCAGGTTAAATGTCAGCAGTATGAGGACTTACGTTTCAGTATGTTCCTCTGCTCCAATTCTTCAGCAGTTGGCCTCTGGCTCAGTCGTCTGCGAAAAAAGTCCAAGATCAGTTTTTGGACCATATCACATTCTCTTCAGTTCTCTGTCTTGAAGAGTTATTTTGGGGTGTGAAAGGCAGAGCAGAAAGCACTGACACTGCTCCATTATGTACTTGGTACACCCGGACCATGCGTGACACAGACCATGCTTCGCTTTCGCAGTTTCCTCTGTTTTCAACTCATGAAAGACAAAATACGTTATGTCATCTTAGGCATGACTCTCCCACCCCGACCCCAGGCAGAGCTGCTGAAAGCTAAGCCCCACAGATGTCTCCACTTAATTTCCTTCCTCCCATGCCTGCTTCCTGACTCGCACAAGTATTTCTAGCTAAGACCCAGCTAACCCTCTTGCTACCCTCTTGCCAGCCTCCTGGCTTGTGCCCCATTTGTTCAAACGGCGTTTGAACACACAGACAGTCCACAGAAAAAACAAGGGATAGTTTGGCAGCGCTGAGGGCAGAACAATAGCAGTCCTCCTCCTCCTCCTCTGCACCCTCACTTTCCTCCGCCCCCTCTCATGGCTTTTATTAAATCTTATACTGAAGGATCAGCGTGACTTGCTAGTCAACCTGTACGTAATAGGGTCACAAAAACCTCAATCTAATTACAAACAGGGACCCTGAGCCTAGAAATGGTCTGAATATACAGAATACAAAGCAAGGGAGAGAAGCACAAAGGGGTCTTTGGACAAGTAATCCAGGGAGATGACATCAGAAGTCATCTGTTGGGCCTCCTCATACACTCCTCTGAGTCAATGAGAGTTTTGTCAATGATTCTAGTGACAGGACAGAGCCTCCTCTTCCTTCATATGTGGTCATTCAGAGACATTCCCAACTTGGGGGCTCCAGTCTCTGCCAGCTGGATCATCAGTTCCCCTGTGAGGTACTGGGTACTGATAGAAAACGTGACTTGAATGGCGGCTGTGTGGCTTCATCTTCTGCAATGAATGCTTCCCCCAACCTGGGGCACAGAAGCTCACTCCAAAGGGTATGTCCCTGCAGGACTGGGTGAGGGATGTTTGACAATGGCTCCTCACAACAGAGGGGCCAGACCGCTGCTCAGAGATGTGCACACATCCCCCACCAGCCTTCTCCAGAGCCAGAAGCTCACCTGAGCACCAGTTCAATATCCCTGCCCCTCACATCGTGCATGGTGTACAAGGCTGAAGGGCAAGGGGTGGGTAGGAGACCACTCCCTACACCCACTATATGAAGGCAGAAGTGCTACAGACATCTGACTTCATATAGCCTCCAGACTTCCACCAGCCATACGTCCTTTGGGACCACTTAACGCCACAAAAACAAAACAACAGAACATGGCCCTATTCCAGTGGAGAATTTGGAGTCATAAGCTTTGTCTCTTTCCTATGGCAGACCGAACATTTATCTCACTGGAAAAGTGTTGAAAGGGACAGAAACTCATCCTTAATTCAGATTAAAGAACATCTGCAAAGTACTCTGAAGACAATACTTTTAATGCACCACATTGTGATGCTTTTCAAGAGAATGTATCAGAGGGATGCTAAGGATGGACTCCAGACATCTAGTGTGCAGCTGCTTCTACAGAAACAAAGATCAAACAACAAGTAAAAGGAGAAATTAGTCTGAAGAGAATGCTCCTGAGAATGTCCTCTCCTTTCCAAGAAAATGCAGAAGTTTCATCTATCTGCACAAGTGATTCATGAAAGGTACTGGGGTACCTGCCATGGAGTAGAGGCATTGAAACACAGCTTTCACTTCACTGTGTCATTATTTCCACAAATGAGGACAGATTTCCTCCAATGCCTTTGGTATTATATGTACCCTCTACTTCTGTATTGCTCAGAGACCTATAGACTGTGAGATTCTTCTCCATGCTGCCTGGCAGAGCCTCTAGTGAAAGTCAGCCAGGAATACCTGTGACCTGTGTTCCCCTTTGAGAATCAAATTATTTTATGGATCCCATAATCCACTTTTTTCAGGCTGCAGTGTGCCCCATCATTTTCAGGCAATGCACTCACATGGCAGAAAAAAGCCACAATACTTTTGATAGATACAATCTGGAGATCTGAAGCTATCTGCATTCACAGGTTGTCGATCGCTTCAGCACTCTTACAAAGCCAAGAATTTTTAAGAGCAAGACTTAGTAGGAAAAGATAAAGTACCCTTGTAGTGTAACAAAATCATGACCCGTCCTTCCAGTGCAAGCAGTAAAGCACAGCTGGAAAAAAAAAAAGGTAAAGAATAGAAGCTGTGGAGATGCCTGGCCTGCAGTACCAGTGTTTGCTTTCATCTCCATAAACTGCTGCTATTATCCCCATTTCCATCGTCCTTTTGGACTGATTGAGCTTGCTCCTGCTTCCTCATTGTGAGTCCCTCCTTGATGATCTCCTCCATCAAACCAGCCCCTTCCCCAGCCCTTTGCTTCCAAGCTCTCACAATTATTTAATTTCTTTGTCTCTTGCTCTTTTAATTTCATTTCTTCTCTTGTTGCCACAGCGATTCTGCCCCTAAACTATCTTTGGGCTTTACAAACAACTCCACCAGTTCCTCAGAACATCTTAATTTTAGTTCTTTTTTCTTGCCTCTTAACTTCTAGATTTGCCAGATGTTGAACAGCTGTTAACATTGCCATCTTTGAAAATCTTGATACTAGTTACTGATCCCGTAAATCAAGAAATGTAAGCAGCTATTGCTTTGTTACCATGGCTGCAAAGGTACGGGTTTTTTCCCACCAAATTTCAGTATACTATCTCCAGTGTGCCATTCTGATCTTGGCAAACACCAGACATGATACCTCACCTCTTCTACCTTCCCTCCTATGCTGCCCAGAATAAAAAATATTAATGACGCCCACCTATCTTGCAGAGGTTGATTTCAGTAGTTTGATTGCTGGATTGCTGCTGTGCCTTATTTAATTTAACATCTCAGGGGCTCCACGAGGCTGTCAGGAGGCCAGAGGTCAGGTCTCATTAGTAAGTGTCATTAGCAGCACAATCGGAATAAACAGGAGAAGGTGAAGGTGAGGAAGGAGCCTGGTGCAACAGCAAAGAACAGATCCACTTGCGAAAACAGTAAGAATTGAGTGGGATGTGTGGGGCTGCTGTTGATGGGAAAGGTTACTCTGGCTGTTTCATGGAGCTGTATGACTATAAGCATCTAACCAAGGAACAGGCAAGACAGACCTTAAAATGTAACAACATTTAACAGCACTTTCTGTATCTAAAATCTCTTGTGTGATCATGCTTGACCTTCACTGTGCCATTCATGCAGTTTTGCAATAAGCTTCGGGCATTCAAGGGGATAGGATACAAGTTTTTGTAATTTGTGCTTTGCAATGTATTGCCTGGTTTATACTTCATATGTTTTGGCAATATTGTTAATAGCAGTTTTGCAAATACTCTGACAAAGGTTTTACTACAAAGAAAAACTTTCCTAAGATTTATGGTGACATAAAGAGAGCCTTGCTAAGTTTTCACTGAAAAAATAATATTCAAATGAGATTGTCAGTGAAAAATAAAACACTTTGCTCACATTTACAAAGATAAACTTGACAGCAAACCAATTTTCTGAATTAATTGCCTGCATGATGAAAATGCACCACACTCCTCGTGCTAGAACTATACAAGACCTGAGCAGCTCTTCAAAAGGATGCTGTGTGGTGGAGTCTTTTTGTTTGGGTTTGTTTTTTGAATCTGCTCTGGGCTGGGCTGGGCACATCATAGTGGATGAGGAGTTTGGGGGCTGGAGGGACAATCATGCAAAATCAATTAGACTTAAAAATATTGGCTGGTGGGGATGTAATCTCTTCAGGGTGCAAAAGAAAAGAAAGGCAGCATCTTCACTGATGGATGTTACTGTTTAGAGCTTGCCCAGCAAATTGAAACTTCAGAATGAGAAGTTTCTGCTCCATGTGGCAGCGTCCTGCAGGAGCAATAAAAGGAAAAACTAGCTGTACATCTCCCCAGGCAATTCAAAACACTTAGATGAAGAGCCCACACAGCTCTGCAGTGTGGCCATACCCAGAGGGCTCTCAGGACAGTGGCCAACTAGTTGTGGAGCTGACGGTCATATTCTTGCAGCCCTTTTGTCTGGTAGCACCTTTGAAGTAAAGGCGCTCCTGGCTGCCTAGGCTGTCGCCTACTAGGAATCATGGGTTTTTTCTCCTTCATCCTTTTTTTGTTGTGGATGAGCTCTGTGAAAGAGCCATCCTGCTCGTTGTTATGTGAACAGGATGGTGCTGGATATGTGTTTTCTGGGTACCAGGAATTCATCTTTGCCTTTGCCCAGAGGACAAGAAAACTTAAGAGCTTTGTATGGGGTCATCTGTAAGTATAATGGCTGGATATAGTACAAGGCTCGCTGGAAAATGATGCCCCGTATACTTGCCAAGCTTATTAACTCTGAGTGTTTGCAGATACAAGAGGCAGAACCCAGCAGCTCTCCAGCACTTGAATGGTGACATCTCGTGTGTGTGACCCATGAACAGGACTGATAGGCAAAGAGGTCATGGGTGGTCACAACAGGGCATGCAGCAGTATGGTGAGGTGTCCAGAACATCACCAAAACATCTTGGAGCAGTCATGTTCCTACAGCTCTTCCTGATGATATAGGTCACCCTGATGTAAAACAACTTCTGTGCACAGTGGGGCATAACCTCTGGAGCAACTCCTGAATTTATTCTATAGATGCAAATCTTGTTACTCAATTGCAACCAGGTTCAGACCACTCTAGAGATCACTCTAAGAGAGGAGTAAATCTGAGCAGAGCACGTGAGAAGCCAGCTGCTACAAAGAACTACTTGTCACATTGCTTTTTAGTTGGCATAAATGAGCATGACCGAAGCCAGTAGAACTGCACTGATTTACATCAGCTATATAATTCGACACGAGGAAAATTCAATAGGAGTAAAGAGTCTTACTGTTGCTTAATTTAGCTTGCCTTCCCCAATAACAATGCTGATAGCAAAGCAATAATGATGAAGTATAGGCTACCAGGGGCTCTTTGCACT